TCGCCCGATTATTAGAATCTTTAACTTATCAGGGGAAACCGTAGTGACAACTATCCACTTTTCTTTAATGCAGGCAAAAGGTTCAACTCCATCTGCTCTCCCATCAACATCCTGCACATTTGGAAAATATTTCAACATGTCTTTAAGGTCTTAAGGTGAATGTGAAGGTTTTGCCTTACCACCATGCATATACTAGCTAGCTGTTTATATGGCAGGAGAAAAATCTAGCACAGTTACGTAAATCTGATGTTGTTTTCGAGATTTATTTTTTTAATTTTGCATTTAAGGCAGGCAGCACAGTTTGCCCACTGCCCTGTCTATACAGGCTTCTATATAAAAATAAACAATATAAGAAATGCATATTAAAGTCAATCAAAGCAAACTCTAAATGTAACATACCCCTTAGAACTAAATGGTAGAGATCAATAGATCTCATGCCTAGAGGTACTGCCATTTGTTGTTGTTTAGGAAAAAGTTAGATAGTTATTTTATGACAAAGCAAGTCAAGTTATTCATAAAGCATCTTTTCAAAAATACTGAAAGTGCTTTATGTAAAGCAAAGGATAACGCTGCATTAGGATAACATACAAAAACACATTGCTTTGACTTCTTTCTTTCTTTCTTCTTCTATTTGTTTATGGTTTGAATATCTGAGAAAACCTCTTAAAGTAAAAAGTATATTAGTATAAAATATATTTGGTTTGTGTCGGGTTTAAACCTAAGGATGCTGGCAAACCGCAATTTCAAGAGCTCATGCGGTTGCCCTTGAAGGATGGAGCCATACAACAACCACTCAGGACAGAACGTAACATTTATAGCAACAGAGCTTTGAGTAGGTCTATCAGGTTTCACCACCTTTAGTTCAACAAGTAGCTAAAAGGTCAAGATGCTGACCAAAAAGCACAACGTTACAGGTTCCAGCCCTGTCAGGGATTGTTGTCGTATCTCTCATTTCCTTTTATCCTGTCGTCTCTTTATAAAAGTCTTAGAATGAACGTTTTTGATATTTGTTTTGGAGTAATTATTATTGATGGTGATATTGGTGTACTACAGTGTGTAATATTTAGTGGCCTCTTACTGTGTGGTTGCAGATTGCAGCTAACTTAATGCCCCTCGCCTCACCCTCCCCTTCCAAGCATGTAGGAGAAACTACGATGTCAAATAGCAATATGCTCTTAGTATTCAGTATGGTGGACATCTAATTTCGGGACAAAACTCCACAGTCCACAGGTGCAAGTATGTAATTTGCAAATTTTCACTTGTAAATTCTTGAGCTGATATTATTTTAGTTGAGATCTCTCTCCTCCACTGGAACAGTGCAAACTGTGTAACTAGTTGAAAAGGGCAGCATGGGACAGTGTGTCTCAACAGAAGACCCTAGTTCAGACTTTTTCAGGTCCTGTGTCTGTGCACATGATGCAACGCTGCTCCGGGGCCAACGTCTGTAGCTGACCTCTCGTCCTGACATCTCTGAGAGGACTTTTCCTTTAGCAAATAAACAGTGTTCTCCAAAAAATGTTTGGAGTTATGCTTCATATGCAGTTGAAAACAACCCACATGCTTTCAAAGTAGATGTGAAATGGGAGCGGTGTCAGTGTGGGAGGACAGTGTTATGTACTGGAGACAGAGAAGCACTTCAAGCCACAATCCTGACACGGACTCTCTCCATATCTGCGACATACAGGAGTTCAACTTTCTTCACAAGACTGTGGCATCTTAGTGAGAAGCTCACAGGAGAGAGATGGGAATCATTTGAGCCATTATAACAATAGTTCCCCTCACATCTGTCAGATAGAATGCTCAAGATGAAAAGTAAACACTACCGCTTGAGAGGGGGGAAACAAGTTCAGAGATGAGTCATGCAGAGTATCAAATCAGTTCAAGTAGCTACTGTATTCTCTGCGTCTAAAGAAATACATTAATACAGTGAGAAAAATAAGACTCCAACCCTGCATCAGGACCAATACGTCAGAGCTGTAAGTGCACATTTGAACATGAAATACACCAATAAATATATATACATATAAATGTACACTGAAAAGCAGACTGATAAATCTATACAACATCAACAGCTTTATCTTAGTGTAAAGGGCAATCCACACAGGAAGTATTCTTCTAAACTTTTTTTTGTCACATCCAGACACACTTCTGCTAATAGAAATGTCACAATCCACATCAACTCTGACCACCTGCTGACTGGACAGATGGTTCTGAGCACAGTGGTTACGCCATAAGGACTTGAAATCAGTGTGGTGTGTAACATCTGGTGTAAATTTGGGGTAAAACGGTGGTAAATTATATTAAACCCACAATAACAGATGTCTGGCCACTTTGGGGCAGCGGGAACAAGCAGCAAACTGTTTGATGTGTGGGACAGGTAGCGCACAGCGGGTTTATCAGAACCTTTCCATTGAACAGTGCTGTATCGTGAAACACCACTAGTGAGACACAACCAAAACGGTAAATTTGCAGACCATAAAACCAAAACAGAAAGAAGAAAGATGCCATAAAGCTTCATAGGGGAGATATGGAAACCTGTGATGATTAGTGTATCTGAGGGATTGTCATTATGAGCTTCATTTTCCACATTAATCATTTGATTCATTGTTACTATAAAAATCGTATTTATCTAGCAGGTTTAAAAAAGTACGTAAGTAAAAAATATGCAGTATATAGCATGTCTAAATAAGTAATTAATATATTTCATTAAAGTAGCTTAAAAGAAGTAATTAAAGAAGTACAAACCACAGGCATACTGGAAGGATTTTACAGTTGCTCAGTGAAGCAAACATTTTAAATATAGTTCTTTCCAAAACATTTATTAGTAATAGCAAATTGCCTTTTAATATGCAAATTAACAAATCATAAAATGCCATAAAAGTCTGTATGAAGCCACAGCCATAAAAAAAAAACTAGTTAATTTTCTTTGCATGATAATTGTTTTTACGCAAAAGGATAAGAGAAATAACTTCACTGGCAGAGCACAACAACCCCGGAAATGCCCTAAAACTAGATACCTAATTGGTGTTTAATTTACTTTACTGTATTTGTTTTGTACACATTCTGCTTCACAGCAGGCACACACCATACACCCAAGAATCACAGCCTCCATGCACGCTATTTCCCACTTCACTTTAACAAAAGCAAATGTATTCCCTTTACCAGAGTCTTTGGCTTCCAGAGGAGCAGAAAATGCCAAAGTCGATCAGTTGTGCGGGTGTTCTCTTTGACAGAGGAGCAGATCCCAGCTGGTACTGCAAAGTTACATAAATGCAGAATGCAAAGTAGCTTCTAAGCTTATGTGTTGGCAGCGGTGTTGACGAGGGAAGATTCTATTGTATGCTTTTTGTCAGTTTGCTGGTTGAAATCAACACCAGAGTTAATTTTATCCTTCAGTAGTATAGAAGAAGTTAAAGCAGGGTTTCAGCAAGAGTACGCGCTCTTGAATGAATGCTCAATGCTCTCCAAACAGACAACAACAAAGATTTATGCCTTTCACCTACAAGGCATTAGAAAATAGATGTACATCCACTGTGGTAAATATGGATACCAAAGCCCGAAAAACAATCTGGTTCTCAGTTATCAAACCCTAAATAACAGCAGGTTCAGTGTACAGTGGACGTTAAGTAGTGCTAAAATTATGAATTAATTTATCAGTTAATTGTTACACGGAAATTAACATGTTTAATAATCGATTCATCTTTCAAGTTGTGTATCAAGACAAAAATGCAATCTTGTGAGTGTTTGCTGAATTTCCCTCTTTTATGATTGATGATTGTAAATGTAACACCTTTAAGCTGCATTTCCCGTCACCTTGGAAATATCACTATTTTGTGTCATTTTACTGACTAAACAATGATTTGATTGTAAAAATGATGATTCCCTTATAGGTAGTATGTTGTCTAGTTACCTGAACGCCTGTATCTCTGTTTATTTTTTAAGGCCACAATGGAAATAAGACATAATATACTTAAATAAGTCATCCATGACATTTTGTAGCAGTGTGTAGGATTTAGTGGCCTCTTACAGTGTGGTTACAGATTGCAGCCAACTGAATACCCCTCGCATTACCCTTCCCTTCCAAGCATGTAGTAAAAACTACAATGGCTGCAAAAAATGCAAAGGCCTTGTCTAGAGCCAGTGTTTAACTGAGCCCATTTCATTGAAAGTGCAGCTCTACCCCAAAATTTGTTTCACAGCCCTGATTTCATATTGTGAAAGCTCACTCCATAAACTCAGCCTCTACAGTTGCCTTCTAAGCCATACCATGTAATAAATCAAGCACCAGTTCTCTAAATTTTAATTTAAATGACTGAACTGAAATGATTGGTAGTAAAATCCTTTAACGCTGTTGTTCTGTTCCGCTCCGATATCAAACAGGGAGGACGCTCCACCTCCTGAGAGCCGCCCGGTCAGTCGCCATAGGAGCCGGAACGGCAGTCAGCACCCACAGGTCACTTACTGCCAGGTCGATGGGACTGAGATGAGCTCTTTTAATGAAGGACACACACACACTCCCTCCAGCAACAGCCACGGACACACACCAGTCAAACACACACCAGTCGAATATGACAGCAAGTACGGATACGCAGTCTGAAGATTAACAACAAAGCTGAACTGAGAAGGATTTAGCTCTAATTGTAATGTTTTAATAGAAGATTCAACACAGTTTGGACACTTGAAACTGAATCAAAGCTGTGCAGTGTGATCAATTTATAACATTGTTCATGTTAATTACTTCAATATAATCTCAGTCACTTAAGAAGTTTTCTTCCTTTTATTACTGTAGCACTATTATCTTTCAGACTCTGTAAAGAAAACTATAAATATAAAAAAAACCATGAAAACAAAGACTTTATTCTTTGTTCTTTTTTTATCTACACACTGAAATAAACCGTTTTCGGGAATTTTTAAGTGGAAGTTTGGATGTTTTTGTCATTTGCAATGGAACACAGAAAACTCAAAATACATCTCAAAATTCAAAAGGATTCAGTCTCAAATTTAAACCAAAAGAGAAATATTTATTTCATGATAGACCTCATTTGGAAATACTCAACCATTCAAAAAAAAATGTACACGATTAAGTACTTATTTTTTCGAGGATGTATTGACAGGAGTTGAAAAATCAATAGCCACATGCAATGGGTTTTTTCCACTACATAAACAGCGACTAGACCCCACCCTCCCCTCATTCTAGACAACATGGAGGCCTCCTGTGGGTCCCCCTCACACAGTGGTAGGACTTTGTGTTTTTTTGGGGCGGTCAGCCATTGTAATAACACACATCATAGACAGTCAAAAGTTTAGAAACTAAACAAATCAGCATCTTCTGCTCCATTAAGTCTTCGTGAAACAGCCAGAGTTGATGTGCTCAGTGTTTGCACTTTACTTTTCAGTGAGGTGTATGAATGAGAGTTAGTTCAAATAGATTTTTTTTGCAGCAAGACGACAGTCTTCATTTTATGAAAACAGCTGTTTTCCATAATTTCCAATCCCTAGAAAAGCAATTCTTATTTTTTCCCCCTTTTGTTTGCTGTGAAATTTTCTAAGACAAAAGACAATTCAGTGTCAGCTCCAAGCAATATATCAATACTGAAATGTGTAGGTGGAAGATATGAAGGTTAAAGGTTAGACCATGTAAATAGAGTTAGAGTCAATGCACTGTATATGAATATAAATGCAAACAAAACTGTAACTTTTTAAGAAAGCTGAGTTGACAGGGTCAGTAAACATTGGAATATCTGCATAACTAGAATTAGAAAATTGTCTGGTACATCTACGCTTTCAATAGAAAACTTGTAAATGTAAATCTGCAAAAGTATTTACTTTATGGCACTAGGAAATTACTGGAAGCAAATGTAAGCACTGAGCACTGCACCCCTAGAAAATCACAAAATGATTAAGGGCTCCTTCTGTGGATTCATGTTAATTAGCACACAAAGTTTTCCTTCAGATTCAAAATCCTCTGACACTATTTAATTTTCACCAGTCTGCACAGCACCAAAATGGATTTCACACATGGAAACTGATTAACATTAAGAGGGAAAAAAGCCCGTCACCTGATCATCTGTAAAAATAAGGCAAGGTACAAAACTCATAACAATCGACTCCATGCAGACATTAAAACATGGCTGAATTTGGCTTCAAATTATATTAAAAAAAATGTTGGTCCAGTTCCTTAAAAACTTAAAAAATAATCTTGATTCTGTGCAAAAAAACAAAATTGCAAAATTCAAACAATAAAACAATGAACACCGAGATTTGAAAGTGTAAAGTGGTAGTTGAGTGGAATGTCTTGATGTTTCCCTTTCGCATCCAGCTGATTGCACCATTAGACTTGTGACGCCAAGGCCGACGAGAACTGTGTATGTGATTGTTGTTGGCTATAAAAACCATCCGACTGTCCCTGTGAGTCCATCCGGTCACCAGTTGTGATAAGTTTAATGCTTCACCATCTTGTTTTTGAGGGCTCAGAAGGCGAGCCGTCTTCAGTATGTTGTATAAGTGCCTCTCCCCTCCTTTAGTAATAGTAATGTCCTCTGGACGTGGACAAACTGTCTTTTAGGGGATGGCAATGTTCTTTTACTGGCTGATGTTGAGGTTCAGTAAGCGACCATTCTTCAAAGGCACCGTACTGTACATTGGTGTGTGTGTGTGTGTGTGTGTGTGTGTGTGTGTGTGTGTGTGTGTGTGTGTGTGTGTGTGTTTGTGTGGGCCGCACATGGGCACATGCATACAGGAGAAGTAAAACCAGTCAACAAAGTCGATTCCCTCCACTGGTGTCAGCCCACAAGGCATCACCATGACAACTAAGGCAAAATCTCTCAACATGAAAACAGAGCATCTGTTTTTTTTTTCCGTTTTTTTTTTCCTTATTTTAGTTTTTATCATCTGATTCCTTGCTGTTACTAAAATCAACTTCCCCCACAATAATCAATAGTAATGATAATAATCTCTATTCAATAAATTATCTATACTGTACAATTATTTCACCTCGCATAGACCTGCAACAAAGGGGAGCCTTTTTCAAAGTAAAGCTATCCACAGTCAGTTTCTGCTGTGTCCTCAATAGTTCAATAAAGCCTCTGCAGCGCACACACAGGCTGACAGACAGAAAGCCAGTTTCCTGTACAGAAATTAAACAGGACATCCGCCAAAAGAAAAGAAAAAAACAAATCCAAACAAAAGCAAAGCTGATGCATAATTGAAGATAGAGAAACAAGGGTAGAAACACTCACTGAAAAATGAGTATCCAGCAAAAACAACAACAAAAAAGTTATTTTCCTGGAGAGAGTGAGTAATTTCTCTGAGAACAGTAGATTGAAGATGGTTCCTGATTTAAAGGGAGCCAGGCCAGCAAACACCCGTGCCTTACTGCACTCCTTCTTCATCCACGTAGGTTGAGGGAAACCATCCAATCTGAAACATAGAACATTAATTAACAGAGATATAAACTCTTTCATTTTTGCACATGTAAACAAATTGTGTTAATTGAGTTCATTCAGACACCTTTTTACACCCAGCTTAGCTGTATATGCAGTAAGATAAACAAATGGTAACACTAAATTGAATCCATTTATGCGCAGCATGAAAGCATTAGACCAAGGCCACTCACAATGCTTTGCTCTAATTGGCCGGAGGTTGTGCATTATTTTCAGATAACTGCACAACTCAGATGGAGCAGGATCATCTCTGTTCTAAAAAATATTTGAAGGCTTCTTCAGATACTATTTCAACGGTTGCTAGGCAACAACTTCTCGTCCTTGTTGGAATAGTAAGTGATAGTGAAGTAATAAAGAAGACAACAAACACAATAATGTATTTAAAGAGCATAGAAATATTATTTTTGTCACTGGCATGAAGTCATTGGAAAAGTGGGATAATGCCCTCTGATCTATGGGAAATATAACGCACTCATTGAAACCTGCATGTCGTTTCAAAGTTGTGTCCCAGATCAAGGGAACCTTGTTGCTGCATGGGCTCTTCTGTAGCCAGTGGCCAGTGTGACTGCATTTACACCTGTCTGAAAACCCCAGGTTCAAATGGGTTCTAACAGATTAACATTAGATTTGACATTTAATAAGACATGGTCTTGCAGTGACAAAGATGAACTTGTCATCTAAACATTTCCATAAAGGTCCTTAGTAAAGTTAGAACACCGGACTGCACAGCAGACTACAACCCAGTTATTTGTGCAGCACGGTACAATAGTTAAGTGGGTACACTCACTCTGGCTCCACAGCAACACATTAACACTGTCAAATTTATAACCTAATGGGGAACATCCCCGAGAATAAAAAGCTGACATCACATTGCAGTTTTACTGCCAGCCTATTAAACTGGCACATTTCCCAGCAGCTAGGCTTTTACTTTTCTCTTTCAACCACCTCTTTTAGGAGTGCTTTAATATCAATGGTTTAATTGTTAAATTCAGTAACTCTGGCATCCACAAAAGCAGTGCTGTACTTTTGATGTAGAGTGCCTAAATACTTGGTTTTGTCTTATGCCGTAACTCAATGAACCCAGCAGTGGGATCTGTTTTTAATCAAATGTAGAACAGTACTAATCTACAAACATTAGCAGCACCTAACACGTGGGACTTTCAGTCTGGCTCCATTATTGTCCTGATCAGTTTAAACATCCACAAATGAACCCAGTTTCATGGTTTACTCACTCGCCCGTTGGCCTCTCCTTTCCACCAGCCCTGGTCCCCACCGATCTTGCTGTAAATTTTGACTATGTCTCCTTCTCGCAGTGACAGCTCTCTCATGTCTCGTGCTGCAAAGTTATACCTGGCCACTGCTGTACTGACCACCCGAGGAGTAAACACTGTGAAAATGGAAACAATAGGAGCTCAGTCCATTCATATTGTATGAATTGAACAGCTTATTTCACACAGTTTTGTACATAATACAATACCTAAAGCTATTCATCATTGGTATTAGGTTGATAGGGGAACAGTTACTGGACAAAATGGTAATAATTAGTTCTAAATGATGAGAAGAAAGATGGTCAGTTTAGTGTTCAGCATGACATAATGCAGCCTCACAATGATAAACGAGCATGATGGGAAAGGACAAGTTGTTTCATCATGGGAGAGGAAATTGGTTTTCTTTTCTTCATTTAATGAGGGAAGTGTCATCCTGGGAAGAATTAAAATGTTCCACTTAATGAAAAGAGCACCACAGAGAAGAATTTAACAAGGTCGAAAGCGCAGAGGCTTATTATGAAATTACAGGCGATGAGGACAACAGGAGCAAGAAAAGAAAGACAAAGAGTACCTGACCAAAAGGGAGCTGAGCTCTGAGAGGAGAAGTTGAGGCCCTGTGGACTGAGGAAGGAGAAGTTGTAGGAGGCGCAGGTGGCTGCTGAGAGGAGAAGAGAAAGAGGAGGAAATACGGCTGGAAAACATTTTGAGGAGCATGCATGCAGAGCTGAAGCCAGAGAAGCAGAGTTTAAAAAGGAGAGCTTTTGCATTGAAGTTGTGTGTCTCTTAAAGACAGGGTTCTGTTTTTATGATCATTAATCTTGATCATTTTGTTGTCATGATTGGACTGCTTTAGTGGTGTGACTGAAACAGTTTGCATATTGCAAATAGGATCAGTGTGTAGGATTTAGTGGCATCTAGCGGTGAGAATGCAGATTGCAACCAAGTGAAAACCCCTGACTCAACCTGCGAAAAAACACTAGGGCCAGTGTTTGATTTGTCCGTTCTTGGCTACTGTAGAAACATGGTGGTTTAACATGGTGGAGATGGCTAAGGTAACGGAAACAATTCAAATTTTCATGATACACTAATGAAATACCAACAAAATTACATTCCATTTCTGCCAATAGATCATCTAAAATGTTACACACTGCACCTTTAATTGTTGCATGTAGATACAGTGTGACTATACTTACTTTACTGCCCCTTACAATAAACAATCATCAGTTTTGAATTATTGTACAACAATGGTGACAACAGAACACATAAAGGCCGTCTGACTTTTAATGTGTGAAACATGAAATAAAAAGTGACTACTACTACTCTATTCTTTGCATCATATTTTAATTGCACTCTGTACAGCTTCCCAGACAATGTTTGTCTGGACTCTCACTCCATTACCAAACTACATAATGGTGCAGAAAGCATAGCTTAAAAAGGGAATGAGAGGCTTTTACCAGCCCCTGAACAAACCCACTGATAATAGACTGTATGAACCATAGATGCTTCCTAATCATAATAGATCCCTCCTAATCCCACCACTGTTACCATGCACACCAGTGGGGTGTGACACGCCTGCAACCACAGAAATACATAAAAATGTGTGTTTGAAAACAAACGAGCGAGAGTGAGAGCACATTATCACCAACAAAGACTCAATTGTCTCCATTCATTTCCAAATTCAGCCAAAACAGGGGGGGAACAATCTTGCTGCAGTGGCCAGGTCCTCCTGCAGATCGAACAAAGGCAGGCCAATGCAGGACAAGAGCCAGTGCGAGGCCAGAGCCAGTATTGATACAGTCTAATGGACAGAGAGGGATGCCAATTCAGACAGCCAGTCCACAGGCCTCTGAGTTAGCTGACAAACTCTTCCTCTTTGTCTTTCTGTCTTTATCTACTTTGCACTGCCAGACTCCTTTTCTGCCCTTTTCCCCTCTGTGCTTCCTCCATTCCTCTCTGTATGAGTCAGTAGAGTCATTGGTCCAGGGAGGAGTGAAGACAAAGAGAGTGGGAGGTAGTTTGTCTCATTTATTTTACCCTTCCTGGCTATATCCACTGCCAAGGTGGCAAAGGGATTAAATTTGTAAGGTGGAACTGCAAATTATAGCGTCTCTACTCAAATTAGTATTGTCATAATCATTCATAGAAGCAGGCAGATGTATAAGTTGACACACAATATGCTTTTAGCCACTGTGCCTATAATCCATCCACCCATTTTCCACCGCTTATCCGGGTCTACATCAATCCTCCAGCTCTTCCTGGGGTAATCCGAGGTGTAAACAGGCCAGAATTGATATGCAGTGTACAGTGTGTTCTGGGTCTGCTCGGGGGTCTTCAGTGTTGCCGGAGTGATATGTCCATGGGGCATCTGAATCAGATGCCCAAATCACCTCGACTGACTCCTTTTGATGCACAAGAGGAGGGGTTCAGCTCAGAGTTCCTTCCAGATGTCGGAGCTCTAGTGGTTAACTCAACCGCTGATTTCACCACTCCTATCTGTGATCTAATTCTTTTGGGAAATACCCTGAGCTCATAAACATTAGGTGAGGGTTGTAACCTAGATCGACTAGAAGTGCTGGAGAAGAGGAACATTTGGAAGTCTTACCTGGTGAGCGTGTACTGGCCCGAGTAAGCGAGCGTTCTCTTGACTTGTAGGGGTATCGCAATGTGGTATCTAATAACTTGAAGCTTTCTTTCAGTGAATGGGACTGATAGTACTCCACCAGCTCCTGTTATAATAAACCACACAGAAGAATTAAAACATACGGCCATCTGATTTGTTGTTTTTTTCACACTGGTATCAAGGTACTGTGGGTATTTTGTGTTGTTGGTAGTTATGACTTACCAAAAGACTCTCAAACTTCTTGGCCTCAGTAATGTGAATCCAGCTGTCTTTTTCAATGACTTTAATGTGCTTTACTTCATCATTGAATCTGTAAAAACAAACGCCACAAAAACAACAAGAAGAAGAGAAACAATTTACAATAGTAAATGATTAAATTCTCCTTAACTTAATTTATCAAAAACATTTTGTATGTTATGGCTTCTTATTGTTGTGCTTTTACTCTTGTACATTTGGGGGAGGGAGTCCACGTTAAATGTTTTGTTGTGTACCTGAAGGACTAATAGCCTAAATAAAAATAAAGTATTTTTTGGGCGCCCGGTTAGCTCAGTCGGTAGAGCTGGCGACCCATGTACAGAGTTGCTGCAGCGGCCCAGGGTTTGAATCCGACCTACGGCCCTTTGCTGCATGTCATCCCCTCTCTCTCTGCCCCCCATTTCCTGTCTATCTTCAGCTCTCACTATCAATAAAGGCAATAAGAGGCCAAAAAAATAACTTTAAAAAATAAAGTATTTTTCACAAGTTTAAGCCGACTGTTGGACTTGTTTAATTATTTGCCTGAAGGCTGGTCCCCACAGCTTCTGTCGCACCTGTCTAAAGACTTGAAGAAAAATGTGCCAAAGCATTTCTACCAGTACATCACTGTATGACAGCTCCAGTAAGAGCTATTAAATTATTCCTCTCTGGCATGTATTCTCTCAGAGGAAATGCAAACAACAAAACAGGATCAAAAAATAAAAAAGCAATTACCAAGTGGTAATTAGCCGGAGCTAAAAGATGCAAGGAAAAAGCTGACTGGGGCATCCCGTGATAATTTTCATTTCCCACAAGATGTGGATAAAAACCTTCCCTTGAGATTTCCCTCTCCTGTAGGATGTGAAACACTCACTTGATGCTGATGGCGAACCTCTCCGCCTCAGCTGTCCTCTCTCTGATAAGGTAGGTCCCACTGCTGTGGGATTTTAAAAGGTTGTCGGCCTGCTGGCGCTCCATGTTCCCTGCAAACCTACAGAGGAGCAGACAATCAACTTGTGACCTCCAGATACGAAGTTATATAATCAATGTCATTGGAAAGGCTTTACAAATCGTCCAACATCAAACAGCCATGTAGTAATTAATCTTTTGGTTGCAGTCCATTTTGATGTCATTTAGCTTTAAATTGAACTAGTGCATGAAGTTAAGAGTGTAACTAGTATTAACATTAATAGAGCTGCAGTGATTAAATGACAGTGACCTCAGGGCAATGGTATTATAAGTGTACAGGGCCTTTAAAGTCTGAGGATGGAATAATCTTAAATTCATAACCTTCAGAAATGACGGGTCTTACCAAGGATATCCATAGTAGTCTGCTTCCCTTGAGGACTGCCGGCTGGATAATGACTGGAAGGGCTGTCACAAATAAACAGACACTACACAATGAATAACTTATAAACAGAACAAAACCGTGAAGCAGAAGTAAATCTTTTATATGCATGTCCCACAGGTAGTTAAGTGTACACTAAAGAGGAAAAGAAGGGCTCTGGTATGCCCTCAGAAATCACACATACAGTAATGATTCCCTTCAAATGCATACCTACTGTACATGTACAAGGATGGCTTACCTTTGGGTCCAAATAAGGTTTGACACATGAACTGGGAAAGAAGCCGCTCTTTTGTGTTTGTATCAGCTTCCCCTGCAAGATAAAGGCAAGGCAAGTTTATTTGTACTGCACCATAAATACTTTTCAAGCAATTCAAAGTCCGCTTTACATGAGACAAACAGACGCATTAGAAGATGAAAATGAAATCCAATAGAAAATTAAAAGGATAATTCAATTAAAGCAATAAATAGTGTCAGTGTGGTTAGAGTGTAGCAATAAACGGCTGTCAGACTAAACATCAGTACAGTAGCCACGACAGCAGGATTAATATGGACTAAAAGGAACACAGACTGCACCAATTTTCATGAGGAAAGGCTTATTTTTCTAGAAAGAAAAATGTCTACTAATGAAAACATTTGAAAAATCCTATAATCACATAAATCACTGGCTCCAACTGACTACAAATAACATACATTACACACCGACGCTGCCATCGCACTGACAACAAATGATAACACAGCTGTCAAGTTCGCCCATCAGCATCAGACAGTTGAAACTTAAATACCTGCTACCTGAAGCGATTGATTTTTAGCTTAACATTGACATTTAATATAGAGATTCATTGGTGACTTTAAATTTACAGCTTCAGAAAGTTGCCCTGGGAAAAGCTAGCCTAATATAAGAATCTGAGCGTGTATAAGATTCAATGATTCAGCAGGAGTGTCAAAAGTTCCCAGAGCTCCTGTCACTGGGGCCTAATTCAACCTCCAGGTTTGCAGGTACAGCTTCATTGATGTTCAACTAAAAATTGGTAAAGTCTTCATCTTGCTCCAAGAAATCAGACGAATGATTGTTCCAGTAGTATCTGCGAATTTCAGATTCTACTCAGGAGTGTGTGACAGGTGTGTCGGAAGGCAGCACAACTTGTGAAAGGACTCCCATGGGTATGTAAGCTGGTGCCAAGCAGATACAGTGCGACAGTATGCTGGAGTTTATATTTTATTTTTTCTTCAGAATCTGAAGAATCATAACTTTATTGCCAGCATATGCTGACACATAACAATGAATTGGATTCCAGTTCTACAGGAAAAGGAATATAACTAATCACATCTCTAAGTTTTAACCATGTTGTGAGTAATGGTGGTCTTACACTCATGTAACTGCAATGTCCCTGGTCCAAATCTGACCTCACTTGGTGACCCTGCTCCTGACTTGGATTTGACACAGGTCTTGTCCTTTGTATGATGACACTTGTGTGAGGTTACAGTAATCGGTATGAGATTAACTTGCAGCCATACATTTCCAACAATTCTTGTTGCATAAAGTTTTCACCCATCTTCTTATCTCCTAGAATTCATGCCAGGCCATAGCTCTAAAACAAACCTGCAAACTGCATCATTCATTTTTAAAAGATAAAGAAAGTTTTCGCATCTGGTGTCAACTTGTATCTACAATTTAGATAATGTAGTTTACTTGTATAATTTTAATTTATTATCTTGACAAATACAGACCCCTGTGAGGACCTTTTATTTATAGTGCAGTCAGTATGTGGACACATTTTATTTAATAGAAAAGTGAAAAGATCAACATTTTGGGAAATGTCCTTATTTGCTTTGATGCCGAGTCTGAGATAAGAAGATTGATACCACTCTCATGTCTGTAGGCTACACTAAATATAAGGCTACAGCCAGCTTAGCAGAAATGTTAGAAACAGAAGTTAACAGCTAGACTGCCACCTCGCTCACTAATTAACATGTTTTATCTAATTTATGAGGGGTTCTGTGCAGGACTATTTCTTGGCCTCACCACTGACTGGTTGCATGGCAACCTCATGGTGATGACAAGACTCCAGGAAGTCACTGAACCCAGCCAAGACTGTAAAGATTAAACAAACAAAATGTGAATTAGTTTGCCTGGGAGCGGCTGGTAGTCAGATTTTGTTCAGATCCAGGCTACACTGTGGGAATTGTAGCTCTTTTTATACAAATCCCACAGGGTAAAAGGGGCTATGAGTCCTACTCTGATCACCCAGATCACCTTCAAACATCTTTAAACGTTCTTGAAAGTCAGCACTTTAACTTTATAGTCATCGATTGATTTAAAATCAAATGAAACAAGGTCTCACTGTCCTGGAGCACAGAGCCAACATCAACTGTCTTCATAATAATATTCACCCTTTAAGTGTCAGACTGGGACATGTTTTCAGACAGAAGGGACCGACTACTGTACCTCCCACCATGTGGTGTCAGGATCTCCCTTCAGCAGCTCGATAAAATCTCCTGTTTGAAAACAGAGCGGTGTCTTCCCTGGAGGTGCCGGTGTGCCATGGTAGTTCCTCACTGCCACCATCTTGGGACCTGGAAACACAATTAATCGTTTGAAGTGAGTATTAATAGAGGTAAGTGGGAGTAACAGTTGTGTTGATGACAAGGGATGAAAGGAAGAGATGAAGAGCTGCTCGCTGTTGTTTGGATATCCCTCTTTGGTTTCACATGTAACATCGTGATTTAGGCTGATTAAGGCATGACTGTTTTTGCATAAAAATCTTGCCCTCTGAATGAATCAGTGCTCTAAGATACACAAAATAAAACCACAACATCCTGGGTTCAAATCTGATCCAGGATCTTCGTTGCATGGTATCTCTTTCATCGTCCACTTAGAAGTATCTTATAATGCAAAAATGCTAGAAAATACAAACCCAATGTTACCAAGAGCAACTTTGTAATTTAAAACTGTCTTTTCTCTCTCCAGACTGTATTTATTATTCCCGTAGACCAACTATGATATCCCTCTTATCTAAAAGGTCTTCAAGTTATCGAATTTCAAGTAATATCTATACAGTAGGATCTCTATACATGTATGCACTGCCACCCACTCTACAGTACATGGTTGATCATGTTGTGGTTCATGTGTAGTGGGCCTATCCACTAGATGGCAGTAGAGAGCTGTGCTGCTCAATAAAAGCTCTCGCCAAAACAAACTTGTTACATGACAGCTGAAAGAATATCTAGCTTCATCTGAAAGTGTTCTCCATCATGTTTAGGTGACAGAAGGTGTTCTCACCTGATGATAATCCAGGTTCCTATAAAAGAGAAATACATATTTGATCAAAAATACTATTACAAACAAAATACAAAAAAAAAGGGAAAATGGCAAATTGGAGGGTAATAATGACACTGATGATGATGATAATGATGTTAATGATAATAATAAGAATAATAATACTGCTACAGTAGGCTGACATATAGAGGGTCTACTCACCAAGTCATGAGGATCTGAAACAAGACAAAAAAGATAGTGACAGTCATGGAGGGTTCACATTTCAGGATAACAGTTCTCATCATATGTGTCAGGGATTTGTGTTCAATATGCTATGTAAAACACAAAATTAAATTTTGCTTGTTTGGCTGCCTTTTGGCTTCATCCTACAAGTAAAATGTTCAAACTGTGAAAGTAAAGCAGGTGTGGATAAAGTTGAAAGTACCTAAGTATATATGGTAACAGGTACACACATTTTCTTCCTGGTGCCTGGCCCCATTATTTCTTCCCATTCCCAATCAGTCCCACTTTTCTTGCCAGTTCTGTCCAGTCCAGAGGAATTACTTTTCACACTGACTAACTACAGTATTTAGGTGTCATTTCAACTAAAGAACCATAGGAGGTGTAGGGTTACACATTGGACCTCACTCAGAGTACTGTCCTGGCTTCAATTTGAGAAAACAGGGCTGTGAGTTTCTCAAAGATGCAGTAGGTTACTTTTCTAAACAAAAAAACGTTTTGCTCAAAATAGACATAAATATTCCACACATCTATTTCATGAGGCAGGTGCGCAGGAGTGGGATGAGCATCCAAAAGTAGAAAACTACTGCACATGGGGAATGATTGTTTACAGTTGTGTAGCCACTCCTTATTAAGATGGCTTCTCATTTTCATGAACCATTTGCCTGATGAAGGTCTAGTAATAAAACGCTGCAAATAAATGTTTGCACTGCGAGTTAGACAATGTGCGGGAATTCTACTTTTGTCATATTTGCTGAAACATTCACTATATTGACATTTTTTTTATTTCACAAATCATTATCAATTTGATCAAAACAAAACAAGCCCTCACATCACAGTGTCATAACCATCAATGATGTCAGACAACATCGATGAACGGTCGATTACACCCAAATATCGACCCTTCAAAAGTAAATGTGAATCAGGCTTTCTACTAGAAGATTAGAGGAAACACCTACTGATTTTACAGATGGTGATGACTTCCAGACACTCTTTGTGTGCTCCTGTTCCACAGTGAGAGCAGTAGTAGCCCTGATAAAAGATGCCCCTAGAGGACACACACACACACACACACACACATCAGAAATGCAAACAGGAAGTGTCTCAGACACAAATTAACTTCTTGTAAGTACAACACACAAGGGGAACTGCTGCTTGTTACTATGTGCCTGCGATTGTGGTTACACATGCTCCATCATTTCCACTCTGCAAACCCTTAAAATCACAAAATCAACTCGCTCCATTTAAGAGCATGTACTCCAGAACTGTATTTGTTACGGGGACTGCAGCACTGCATGCATCGCACACTGCCATGTTGAATAGTAAGCGCCATAAATCACGATGGGATCTGCTGGGGCTGCAGCAGTAATTAGCATCTAGCAGGGAGTGAGAACGTTGGTCCCTGCTTCCACTGGTTGTGTGAATTTAGGTCAGCCAAGCCATGAAATTTGTGGGTCAATACACAGAGTGGAGTTTAGCCTGGTGACTGTAATAGAGGTGAAAGTGGTGATTCAGTGGCACGGGTTATCCCTGCTGCAGTCGAGCAACACTCTCACATGGGAAGAGTTGCGCTCAGGGACACAGTGGGTGGTGCTGAGAAGGGGAATGTTTAAAAATATAATCCGTCAGCCACAGTCGCACTTAGTCGATTTTTTTTCTCCAAAGATTGCTTTCACACTAATGAGGTGCTACGTTAGCCAAAAACATATTCCCTCTGTGATTTAAGTCTGTTTGTTTGTTTGCTGCTCACCAAATGTGGTTGAATTTCTCTTTAGTTTAGCTCTTCAATTCTTCGCTCACTGTTTTCGCCTTTGAGTACGTTTTTTAACTTAACACAGCTTTTACTGGTGTTACATTCACCAATACATTTACTAACAATGTACATTACTGTTGCATGACAGCAGTGGTGGAAAGAATTTTTTTTTTTAATTTCCATTACTACTTACTTTATACTTCAAATCCAACAAAATTCAAACAGAAACGTACTCTTTGTGAGTGCATTTCTGTGGCAGCTGGAGTTACTATTAACTGGACATTTTAAATAAAAAGAAAAGACATAATGAACTTGTAAAATATGATATATTAAACTCCCAAACAGAAAATTAAGTAGATACAACTAAAGGTCACGCTTAACAATACAGTCAGTGATTAACAGTGTAATTGTTTTCTATGAATCAGGAACCAATTAAACACTTAAATGTAGGTACAGTGGTAGAAAACAAGACAATGAGGAACACAGTTCTAACAATTGGACATTTTAGAAGAAAGAAGAAGTAAACTATAGTATTTATGTAAATACTTGGCAACTACAATACTGGGGGAAAGCAGTAGATTGGCAAAAATGGTGTAAAAACTGATATTCTACCAAACCTAAAAAATAATTAGTTGGGGTTGGGGGTGTTATACCTAAAGTTAAGCATAATTAAGGACATGGCCGCTTTGAGTAACCAGGCTTCATTTGGGCCGCATCAGCTCCACCCACGCTCCACGTCTCTGCTCATTTTTGGATTAGCTGGGAGACGGCGGAGTCAGGACTGCCAGAACTGAGCTTCACAACGGCTCTTCAGAAACCTATAGATGATGTCACAGAGACTATGTCCATTTTCAATTGTACAGTCTGTGGCCTTAAGCCAGTACAAAACGTGGTTTCTCCTTTCCTCTAAAATGTTGAATTGTTACTCCATTGTTCCCCATGATCTTGTTTACTTCCACTGTATGTACATTTTGGCCCCAGTAGGAACTAGTCAGTAACTGGTTACTATTTGATTTATATAAAAAATGACACCCTAAAACTGGAGAAACTGTAGTTCACAAAAGTATCTATTTTCAAGGTCAAGTGAATCATTTTTTATGTCAAGTATTATTTTCATTCTGGTATTGCTATGTTTTATTGAAGAAAACGATCTGACTGCTTCTTCCACCACTACATTTAACATGGATATTGTTTTTGTATTTTATGTTACATAACCTGTGTCGGGTTCATAAAACATCTTACGTCCGCATAAAAAAATGGGTCTGACTACATAGTACAAATACCACTGAAAAAGAAATCTCTTTTACTACTGAATATTTTTGGATACTTGATGGTTCTTGGAAAGTCTGGAAGAAGATACATTCATTATTCATTGGAGAATATGAATGTGCATCAGCACTGGGGTTATCGGGGTCGTTACCTCAGGAGCATCTTGCAGGCTCGACAGTTGGTGTTCTTATCGAATGTGTGCATTTGAAAGTTATGCTGATTGGCTGTGGCTCTCTCTGGCTTGATGTTGGACCTGGAAGTAAATCATAATGAATGAGAGGAGCTGATGGGTTTGTTTTTGTGATGAATTAGCTTGATATTACTGGCATTTAAAGGTGCAATATGTAAGAATTGAGACGACTCTCAAATGTACAGTATGTTTCAAAACAATAGGGTGCAGCATATCGCATATCAGGTCCTAACTGCTGCCAACTGCTGTTAGCTTAGTTAGCTGTGCAGTGTGTGGAGCCAGAAAATTTTCACATCTAACTCGGTGAATTAAGGGTTTATTTTGACCAAACCAAAGTTGTTAATTGTTGGAAAAGTGGAAAGACTAACCAATATTGTTTTGGTGTTTTTTATTTTAGTTAACAAGGCAATTAAGCTAGCTCAATTAAACTTAAATTCCAGTGGTGTGTGGTTGTATATTCTGTTTCATCAGGAATATTGGTAAGAATATTTCCGTTTCTGACATTTTGTGAGTTTATTTTGTTTATTCGTTTCACTAAAAAAGCTAAGAGAGCTTGGGTAATGTAGCGAACCTGCCTCTTGCACACATCTCCCAGCTGAAACTACGGGGAGGAGGCCTGAGCTTTACTATCGGACTATTGCCTCTTAAGGCAAAAGCCTACAAAATGGTATTATAAGACAGTACGGGCCGGGGCTAACTGGTTTTCATGCATCTCTGCAACAACAATATAAACGTCTTTGACATAACGTAAAAAAATGTATTTATGCACATTGTTGATATTTTTGAGAATTTTTTTTAATTCTTAAATCTCTTAAACTCTTACACACTGCACCTTTGATTCATTGGAGTAATGTAAAAAAAAAAAAAAACAGACAATCCCATCTGTTTTTTTGTATATACAGTTTCTCAATTGAATGTCCAGGAAAATTACTGTTTCAGAATTAAAATTACATATACTACAATACAAAATGGTATCCATGTTATCATACTCACATGGCCATGTCAAACTGCTCCATCCACTTCCTCTTTGTCTCCTCAGTTTTACAAAAGAACTGGAAGCCCTGCTTCCCTTGCAGGTGGATCAGGTAGAAACCATAAGACCACTGGGGAAACAAAGTGAGTGAGGAACAGATGGCAGAGAAATATGTGGGTGGAAATGACAATGACAGAGACAGGCAAAGAAGCTTGTGATAACTGCACATTTGAATAAATATGTACCAAAACATACAGTAAATATGATCACATTTATTTCCGAGCTAAGAAATGCTCCACATGCTTTAGCAGTGCATCTGACCAATAAGCTGGAGGGTCAGTCACAGAGCCGGCGGGGTGCACGTGCAAACACGGCATGACACCCAAAAACACCACTGCCAAAAATAGGCCACTATGAGAGGATGAGTTAAATAAAGGGAGTCACTTGAGCTTACCATTTTTCCACTCGACTGGTAAGCATGCAAAAAGAAAGACACCAGAGAAAGACCCAGTTACACATGCAAACATGGACAGATACATGCAGATTCAAAACCAAAAAAAAAAGCCATGTTAGACTGGTGGTGCAATGCACTGCAGAACGTTATCATGAATCCTGAATGACCTTGATTGCATTTACATGGTCTTTCAAGCATGGGCGAGCAAAATGCATATCTGACACTTCAATGCATTACTCATGAATTCTATATCTAAAATTACCATCAACAAGGTCCTTCAGCTCAAGGACAACATTTATAATGATTACACAGGATGTTTCATTACCTGCACTAGCAAGGCACTGCCCTTACAAAGATCTCACTGTGTGTGAAATGATGCTGTTCGGTGTCCTTTTAAACTAAAACTATGACTCTTACCTTTTTCATGTCTCTGTTGTTCATGGGGTCGTCGGACATTTTATACGACTGCAGTTCAATAATCTCTTTAAGCTCATAGCTGTAGCCTTTCCTCTTGCAGACAATGACCACTTTATCAAACAGGAATATATACCTGAACACAGATACACACACAGTCATTGTTAATATGTCATTGCTGGCATTGGATGACTTTATTTCTCACATCCTTTGGGTAGTTCCTCTGCGGCGTCTGGACTCACCGGTCCTGTTTTGTTCGGTTGACAATGGAGCACACCTTCAGCTCTCCGTCTATCTTTGGCCTTCCGTACTCCTCCAGTTTCACCTGCTGCTTAGGTCACAAGGACACACATGCAATGTCAATCCCACTGCATACTATAACTTCTAAATTAATGAGAAACCATAAATAATTCAGATACACTTGAATTTCAAAGAGAATGCAAATAGGTATACAATGACTGATACAACTTGGACGCTATTCAGTCCCTGTTCAGTTGTTTTTTTGTCCTACTAATCCAGATTTTGCTTGTGTTTACTGTATGTATGGCACATGTACAAGTCCAAAATTAACCCGGTGACTATTTGCACTTTGGCTGGAAACAACAGGAAAAGAGAGTTGAGCGGGAGTACGAACAGAAGTGAAAGGAGAAAACACTGACAGAAAGACAAAGAAAGAGAGTGCTGTTAGAAATATTATGGGAAGTGAACATCAGACTGAAATGTACATGACGTCTCTTGTTCATGTTCTGCAAGACTAAATGATTTATTGGAGACAATATAAGAGTGCAAGATTGTGACAAGTGGAAGCAAGACGATGCCAGTGTTCTTAGCACAGACATTTCAACAATGGGAGCTGGAAAATTAGACCTGGAAATGTGGTTTCAGAAATCTTATCTTTTACTACAACATTAAAGCAATAGGTTGACATTTTCAGGAGAGATGAGAAACTGATACGACTCTCTTATCTGCAACCTCACGGTGATGATGAGCCGCTGGAAAGTTACTGCCCCTGGCCGAAAAGTAGTCTGTGACATAACCCCATATACCACTTTTACACGTCTTTGTGTTAAGCTAAGCTAACCCTTTTGCTGGTATACACAAGCATGGTATAAATCTTCTGACCTAACCTTCGTCAAGTGTAATTTCCCCAAAATGGAGAAATTTAGCTTTGCCCTTCTGACTTCAAATCAATGAAAAGAGCCCAGATAAAAACACGATACAGAAAATAGAAATCTCTCGTGAAATAACCAAACTTTAATAGATAATTATAGATAGTAGGTAAGGGATTGCATCACTTATAGTAAGACATGGATTTCTTCAAATAACACAGGGAAAAAAATCTCTAGATGAAAAAGATGTGACTGAGAAATTCCTCACTTACAAGATTTTCTATTGAACTTTGGAATTCGCTGATTTTCTTCAGTGTCTCGTTGTCCCTCTTGACTTCGTTGATGTACATGGCCAGGTCCTGGGAGGGCAAGGCAAACATTCTTTCTGACATCTGTCATAACACGATAGACTTACAGTGCTTTGAGCCACAGTAGCCGTATGAAACAATTTATACAGCTTTGGCTTAGAGCCCTGAAGTGTTATTATATAATATTTATTTAAAGCGCACTTATGAACATACATAGAAGAGCATGTGTAACACAGACCTGCATAGCCTCCAGAGCCTCCTTGAGTTGCTGTCTCTCTGGTCGGTCAGTTGAGTGACTCAAAAGCTCCTGTGGGGGGAGATTATTATTACTGTTTTCTTACTTCCTCAGAACAGCAATAAACAACTTTCGACACAAGGTCTGAAGAAACACACAGTATTCTTTATTGAAATGATCTTACAGTAATGAGAGGGATTTGTTGTGAGAAATGTATAGCTGCTCTTTACTGTGATTATCGATGTGACACTGATGCGGCTCAGGATAAGTTTCAGCTCAGCGGCATAAGCAGCTAGATATAAAAGACAAGAGGAAGCCAGAGACATTGCTAACTAGCCTTCAGGACTGACTGTTCTTTATGATTAACAAGATAATGGTAAATGTGTTGTCCCCTCCAAATTGGGTTGTCATCCATTTAGCCAATCAATAACAAATATGTTACATCATTTTGATCTGTGATTGTCTGCGCCACTGGGGTGATTTATAAAATGCTGTAGAGCCTTGGTGAGCCAAAAAAACAAGCCTTATCAAATCTTTTTAGGTTTTTTTTCAAATAAAAATGAAATTCTGTCAGCTGTCCAATCAATCAGCAGTGTCCTAAAAAAATCATATGTGACACAGACTGTTTTATTGTCACAACACAGTTGCTGGAACTCCCATTCACAGCACATATGTATGTAGGCTACACAGGACATCTTGGCAGAACTGCACACGAACGCTTCATATTTTGAACTTCATATTTGTATCTAAATCTAAAAATATTCTCACACAGTCAGACTTGTTAAGACGTGCTGCACTTTGTTGTTTGCTTTGACTCATATCATTAAGCTTATGACAGCGACAACAGAGTGTGGCATCTATAAATTTAACTTGCTTTTTTCAGATATATTTGTTTCTGTGATATTTTTCTATTTTTACCATTCTAGAATGGGCAATGGACCTGTTAACGGCAGGTAGAGTGCAGATGTAATTACAATACAATAAACAGTACCAGTGCCTTGGAACTGGAAAACCGTAAAAGGAATCCAGCCATTCTTAATGGTATTATTTACACACCCTTTTCCCACTTTGACAAATAAAAAATACTCTGCACTGCAGTTCCTGTTTTCTGCTCTTTCACGTGCTGGCAATGAGCTTCACCAGAGGGCGCAACACTGGTGATACTACCCCCTCAGTTCCACCCCCACTGTGCAGGCACCATGAACAGTCATTAGTGCGGAGACAAGGACATTATCCATCATTGGCTTCCCACCAGCAGCAGCACCAGCACAACCAAGAGGAAAGTACTGCTGTTGGCCCCTGTTTTACCTAAATTATATTTATTTTTAATCCAAGTGACTCAGCAGATCTTTTCTGTACCGTGGTCTATTAGTTTTACACCGAGAGAGCGGCCAGTGACAACATGCTGCTGCACAGCCCATAATCTCAACTTTAGAGGACAGATGCGATCACATGGGTTCATAAAAACACTGCAAATTCATCAAATATTCAAACCCTGCTTGAGGAAAATTACTTCTGAGATGACTTTGCTGAATTCACTTTATTTAGAGTGCGGTTGTTGTAGTATTCACACCCTGATCAAACAGGGAAACACTACTGTGATGATATGTATAGAAAATTGACTGAAGATGTGCCCTTAGGCATGAATGGACACACACACACACACACACACACACACACACACACACACACACACACACACACACACACACACACACACACACACACACACGTACACAAAAACAGGACTTGTCAGTCTGATATGCCCCAAGGCCACAGCATACAGCAGTGTTTTACTGCAAAGCTGTGGGAAGCAGTGAAATGGGGTGCATTTAATGTGATTAGTGCATGGTTGATTTGACCTCAGTGCCTTGCTGAGACTCCTGCAGTGGTTCGATTCAAACTAATAGAGAAGTCGCAGCAGTCTCCGTGTAGTCCGACAATCACCTGGCGCAAACACTCGCCTCCACCCGAGTCCATTACGCACCGCATCATAAACTCATATGCTCATCCATAATTGAGATGCAAAGTCAATTAATCATGGGGAATATTACAGTGGCCAGCTTGTTTTATACATGAACGCCAGGAGGGGAGCTCCAGGGAGAAATGTTGGCTGAGATGCCAGTGGTCAGGCATTCTGCTAAACACATTTGCATGTCGGCAAAATTGGCATCAGTGCAAGGCTGCAATTAATGATAATAGCTAGTAGCTTATTATTTCTTACTAATAGTTTTAAACAAGCCTTAAAAAATTTTGTTTATTAAGAGTGCAAACATTTGAGAGGCACAAATCCTATACATTTTTATTTAATAAATTACTATTTATTTAATAAATGAGTAGTCATTATAATTATCATGAATTTCAGCACTCAACCTGATGCAATAAAAGTGGACACACAGTAGACTGTTTTGAAACTAAAGTAACTTCTATAAGGATTTAAATCTTCTAAAATGAGATATACACCAACTGCAAAAACAAAAAATGTATGAGAAAGAAAATTATTTTACTCAACCTTAAACTTGAAATAAGACTCTTATTGATGTCCTCAGTCTTAACACATAACTGCCAAGCTAAACACAAGGGACACTGATATATCGTTCTACTGACGAACACTGGCACAAAGCCTCATCTTTGATTGAGTTATCTTTCATTTGTGATAGAAATCTCAACATGCATATTTGAACCAGAGGAGTGAGTAACAAATATGGAAACAATAAATGAAAACCAAATCTGAACCAAAGCACAAGTACAAAGGCAGACACACAAGACAAGGTGTATTAGTCTAAATGCCATGTAGGAATATATGTCACCACAGTGGCTTTTTGAAGATACAAAGTGCAAGTAACATTTTCCAAAAGGGCAAAATAGTCGGTGCCCAAACTGCTGGTGGACTGGTCACAAAAACAACAAACACAATTCATGTGACAAGGCTAAAAGTCTGGAAAATGATGACAGAAACCGGAGAAACAACAGTCAACAGTCAAATATCACTGACAGGAATAGAGAGACTTGATGCAAAGTAGTTGTTCAGCATCAAAGTCCCAACAAAATGAGTCTCACAATGCTGCTATTTAAACATGGTGAAGGATCTACTGTATAATATGTGTAGCCTTACCGTGGAAATCAAACAGTTGCTTTGTATGGTCATTTAAAGACCTTATACATTGTTTAAACACTACTGTTCCTAGTTCATAGCTTGTATGCTTACATCTGTTCATGTAAATCTCCAAGTGTTACTTTTACTTAATGGACACAGAAGGAGACAACTTATTTTTGGACATTAGTCTCTGAAGTGTGATGTATTTACCCCAGAAGTGTAGGAGTCTAAATTGCAATATAAAAACTACTTCTGGTGCAGCTATGGCTCTACGAGGAGGTGGTAAAGTGGATATTGCTGCAGGAGTAGATTGAGAAGCTCTCATGGATATTTTCTTTCTCGCAGTAAAACTGGGCCACTGTTCAGATACATTGTAACTGCTGTGAATCCAAGCTTCCTCAATGAAGAAGCTACAAACTTGTCCGAGCCAACTTTCAAACCTACAGGGGGTGAGCGTTTGATATCTAAAACATAGAAACTAAAGAGTGTGAAATAGCATTTTTTATTTCCATCTGCTTCAATCATCAAAGTGATGAAGACTTCCTTTCTTTAAGACCTGACCAACATCCAACCACAGACACTGAGAGAGCATTTGAGTTGGACTGAATCTGGAATGAAAGCCAATTATGGTCCAAATTCGGTTCTCAAGTTTAGTTGTTTCGTTTACTTTAACGTCCCTCTGTAGGATTAAACGGTGTAAAAATGACTGTGTTGTAGGTTTTGCAGTTGGGAGATGCCTCCTACCTTCAGTAGTAGGTGATACTTCAGCACCCTCTGCATGGGAACCACCAGAAGATCCTGAAGCTTGAACTTGCCTTCCTGCACTTTCATAGTACATTCCTGTGGACACAAGCAGCAGGGAAATTATTACACATGGCAGAATGCAGCATTGCACATTTCCTACTAACAAGCCTTCATTCATTGTTCAATAATTCATTGTGTCGTGTTGCATTGCTGTGATTGCTTCCACACATTCATTGGGGCATGCCATTAGCAACAACGAGGCCAGTTTATTCTTTCAGGGCACAAAAGCTCTGGTCGCACCAGCCATTTGTGACGCAGTTACCCTGCATGCTGATGGGGAAATTCCTCTGACTAATGAATACATTTCTATAAACTCTGCACTGTCTCTAAAAATGAAAGAAAGTAACTGTCTTTTGTTAGTAACATTCTATAAGGTTCCCTAACAGTGGTTTGTGTAGGCGACTCTTTATTCAATTTCTATAAGTGTGCAGAAACAAGGCCAGCTTATCCCTCTTTAAAAACAAGGTCTTCATGTAAAAAGACAGTAAGTAGCTGTTTTACCCTGTTACAAAGCTCTGCTATTTTGAGGGAGAGTATCTCAGCACAGCTCCAAGAGCTAATTCTCTGACCATCACTGCCACTATAACAGGAGTGTTAGCCTTTCACTATAATCAGTCCAGATTCTTCTAAGAGTCCTGGATTAGAGAAGATCAGAGAATAATAGGACACAAAGAGGGAGGTTTTGCACCAGAAATGGACTCTGAATATCACCCAGATTTCAATCATTAAAGGAAATACAAATATTTCTCTTTAAAAGTAGATTCATTACGACAACTACAAGATAAACATGAAGCTACACAACTAAACCTCTTGAAGGCAATCATGACAAATCCACTCTCCTCTTAACACTGTAGTTGCCTGTATAAATGGGGTAATGTTGAATCATGTTTATTAAAACAGAGTATTATGAATCAAATAGTTCTGAGGGCATATTTGCAAATGACATTATTTGCCTCTCTGATTTAATATCAATTTGCCCTTGACAATGGCAAAATTGGACCACATCTATTCATTTATTGAAGTCATCATTTATTCAACAGCAAATGTAACTGCAACACTTTTGTAATGATTTTGAAAGAAATGTCAGATTCTTTAAAATTTCATTGGTACATTTGCATAATTGCTTGTGGAACATGGTTGCATTACATTAGAAGGCTGCTGTCTTGTTTGAAAGATTAATTTTGTTTTATAGACATTCACTGCATTGCACACAGTGACATCTATCTTTGTTGTTACACAGTCAGCATTTTGTAAAACTTGTATCAGCTGCAAAACTGTAGGGAACTGATGTTTCAGAAGAGACGAAAGTGTAGGAAAAAAAGTGTAGGCCTACATTATATTTTCTTACAGCACACCTAAAGAGAACACACTTCACACAAAAATACAATTTATTAACTTGTTTCTATTCTCTAGTTGTAATACTGAATGTGGTACTGATGCAAAATAGAAGCAGGAGAAGCACATACAGTAAACTGATTACTAAGGATGAAAGTAATGACTATTTTCACAATTAATTTAAAAGTTTACTATCAGACAAAGAAAAACATGAAATCATCACATTTCAGAAAATTGAACCAGCAAATGTGATTGGTTATTGGTATTTTTACTTGTAAAATATTAGTGAAACTGTTAATCTACTATCAAAATGGTTACTGATAAATGTTCTGTTGATTAAGTAATTGTTTCTGCTCTAAAGGGATAACATAATGTATGTGAACAGGCTGGTAGCTTGACCGTCACGGTCATGCTGCTGCTTTCTTGACAGCATGTGAATATTATTCTGCTCAGCTCACGCTGGCCGTATCTTGAATGGTGGCCTAATATGTGCTAAACCCTATGTGATGACCCCTCAGACAGGTGTACTAACAGATTTTGTATTCTGTTAAAGGTGGTAGAAAAATCTTTTGCATTGTCTTGTGGCTTTAAATGTTTTTAGGTGTTATTTTATCAGTCAAAGCCCTGGCTCTTAACGCCTCAAAACTTTCCTTTAAATTATCCCTTTAAGGGTTACATATCATACTATACTCAAGTAGGTCATAAACAGCCAGATGTGCTGAACCCTACCTGCTTTTTATTCAGTCTAAAAAAGAAGCTGTAATGTATTATTTTCACATAAATGCGCTACATCTGTGGGTTGTCATCCGTTTGGGGTGAGTGGTGAAGGACATTACCTCTACTTTAATCTTGACATCCTCACGCGTTGCTATAAGTTCATCCAGTGTCTTCTGGGCGTTCTCCATGTGGCTGCAGTACTGACCATAGATCAACAACCTGGTGAAAGACACAATTCAGCAACAAGCGTTAATCTAAACACACTTTCAAGGTTTGTTGTCCTTCATGGGACACATTTTGAGTAAGTAAGTAAGTAAACTATTCAAATAATTTTAGATGAATGTTTGACCATGGCTCCTTCTGCCAGGTATGTTCACAGTAGTGTGGGCACCTCACTGTGTATTAAAACATACCTCTATTCATCCTCTGAAGGCTCTCTATGACACCAAACACACCAAAGCAATCAGAGTAAAGACCCAAGTTGGTCTATCAATCTATAGTCTTGAAATGTAATCAGCAAGTGAAATATTGGTTATACTTCTTTTTTAAGCTGTTAACCACATTCACTCCCACAAGCCCTCTGTGGTTTAACACATGTTACAAATGTTTCAGCTCCAAATGATGAAACATTAATGCCAGTTAAGAGAAATCTCTAGCTGAGATTATGTTTTAATTTGCTGCCTCTTCTCTGCGAGTATGGGGACATTTGAAGACATGTGGCCTCATGAAACCTGTTCAAAGCCTAGGCTGTGGTTAAAAATCTAAAAATAAGGCTTAATTAGGACTAATGAGGCTCTTCTTAATTTTCAAAATGTCAGAAATGTATATCACATCTTTGCAAAACATGGAGACAAAGAAGATTGCTGTTTGAGTCCACAGTTAGCTGGGAACTGGTTAGTGTCTCGGAGCCTTCAGGCAACGTACCGCACATTCATGTTAAGATTAATAAGACAATTTGAGAGGTCAGCCTCAGAGTCATCTGGCTCTATAGGGGGCAGACAAATTAATATGTGAATGAATGTATTATGATTAGGAATATATGTGAATACTATGAATAAGTAATGACTGGCTTCTGATCCCAGGGCAAAATTTAGAGGGGCGGCATCCTCTCGCCAATAAGCTGTAATCACAGAGCACTAATGAAAGACGCTGCTTTATATCAGCTGCTTTGCAGAGTTCCTCTTATCAGCGGGTGAGGAAAAAAATATCTTAATTTCGAGCAACGAGGATATGAGAGCTGTGTTCATTAGATATTACAATGGGACCCTGACACAGATCTGTGGGTTCAGCTGGGAGGAAGTTCAAAGTCATCTTGCCTGGAGGATGCCACCGCACGTGGCACACATTCCTCCTGCTCATTCACTGACTCAAAGTAGGGCATTGGCACGGCTGGTATAGGGCAAAACTTGGCACTCTGGTGTCTTAATCTGAATCTTGAGAGGGCTAAGAGGCGGTGCAGTGAACTCGCACTGTGTAGTCTAATCAAGCCTTTTGATAGATCTGTGATGCAGACAAGAGCAACACTGCAGAGAGACCGAACAGAGGAAGTTTTTATGACAATGCAATGGTGCAAATACAGGTAATAAAACAAGAATGTCACATAGTGCCTGCTCTTTTCCTAAAGCTAGTTTCATACATTTAAGACTTACTATTTTTGATATATCTTCACTGACAAATACCCATATTTTTTTGAAGCATCATATCAGTTTAGGCTGATTTTAATTTCAAGGCTTCATGCATCTAGAAGTTATTTCCTGCTGCAAGAGTCCACTGTAGTTTACAGTAAACAAAATCTTTCACTGAAAACAAAGTGATAACAGGGGAGGGAAATACAAATAAGGTGCCAAATATGCACAGATTTGAGCAGCAAAGATGAGTCAATTTATCAGTCAATCAATCGGGCGGAAAGAAATCAATCAGCAACCATTTTGATAATTAATGTTTCATGCAAAAACAATATTTGCTGGTTCCAGCTCAGTTGTGATGATTTGTTGCTTTTCTTCGTCTTATGTGATTGTCAGAGAAATATCTTTGGCTTTTGGACTGTTGGTTGGTCAAAACAAGCATTTTCGAAGCATTTACCATGAACTGGTTATTGACACAGTTGCCACTGTTCACTTCATATCATTCTGCTCTAGCTGCATTTCTAACCTGCTACGGCTGTAAAACTGTGACTTGGTGTGAAACTCTGAATCAAAATCTTCCTCTTAAAAGCATTTAACATTTCTGTCAGATCCATTCATCAGTTGATCGTCCTTCCACAGAGCTCCACCACCGATGGTCACTGGAGCTTCACTGGAGCTGGAGTTTTGACTACATCCCCCCTGCAGCGATACTCCTACCCTGGTTAAAGCCCTAGGCTAACAAGTCCCTGATAAAGACTTGATCCATATTTGGGGAGACAGCTCCCGTTAACTCCCGCCCCTCCAGGATGACATGGTGATTGAGATTAATGGGTGCTTGATCAGTTCTAAGACAGCAGGCGGACTGTGCGTGTAGCGAGGATCCAGAGGCACCCACCATAAAGTAAGTTATCAGGACACAATGTGATATGAAGGTCTTACTTTAAGAAGATGCTGTATGACAGGAATGCAATGGGCTCACGCTTCTAGTGTGAATGTGGGAATCATAGCAGTGATGTTACTGGCATTCATGAGCAGAAGAGATGAAAGAAATATTAAATGAAGACGAACCGCCTTGCGGCTAACCATCCCATAAGCCCACCTTGATGTCACCTATTGCTTTGTGGAGCACTGTTTTGAATTGAGTTTGACATTATGGCTGTCGCCATGTCGTTTTTTGGAAAACAGCGGCGATTACGTACTGTCACACACGTTTCTTGTAGTACAGATAAAAAGTACACTAAAATATGTTTCTGAAAAGTTTTAAAGCGAGAAATAGGCAATACAGTGACAAAATCTTGAATCACATTTGATCAGCACTGCCTAATTTGACAGTTTGATGTATACATTCAATGTGTTCAAACAGACAGCCATCATGACACTGTAATAAGGAGGCCTTATTATCTGAAATATCTAAATGAATGATAATGTGACTACATGTCCACCAGAAGGCAACTGTTACACTAAATGTTGGCAGTAACAGATTTATATGGTGGTTATATAGGTGAAATCTGTTCGTCAAAAGATGGATTATAATTATATTACATCCATTCTTCTTTAATTATGGAACTCAAAAAGACACAATATTATTATAGCGACTATTTTTTCATTTATTCTATGGATGACAAACTCTATCCATGTTATTTTCCTCTCGGATTAGTTGTGTGTTCAGCATCTTGGAAAGGCAAGGAATCAAATTCTGCATGTAAAATAATACAGTATTTTGTACTTCACAGATGAACGAAGCTGATAAAAAAAAATAGAGTAGGTCTTTAGCGCATGCAGAAAGGAGGCATCTCTTTCTAACACAAAAAGATCACTCACACAACCAGTCAAACAATAACTGGATCTTTAGACGCTGTGTTGTGTGAAAACAAGTTATACATTGACACATTTAATAACAGCCTTTCATATGAGACTTGAGAGGCTAGTCAGAGTCTTTGTCCTCTTTACTGAGACAGGCAGTGGAACAAAAGAGCTAATGACACACAAGCACAGTGCAGCATGCATCCACTCTTGGCCCAGTCATTCATAATTAGTCCGTGACATGGTGATAAGCACACTCCTTACTTGACAACAACGTCTGGACACATCACTGTGGGAGGTAAAGACTTATCATTTCCTGTTTTCTTCATGTACCTTTGTGTGAATAATTGTGATCTAAAATACTGTGTTTTCTAGACAAGAAAAAATAAATCATAACTTTGAATATAGGATTCAGTATCTTAAATAATCCATATCAGTCTTTTCCAAAACAACTAAAGTAACCTTTAGCACCCTAACACCTTCAAAATCACAGCATTACTCTAAACATCCCATGCAGAATATTAAAAAAATTATAAAGCCAAAAAATCAGAGTGAGATTCCAAAGGTCCAATATTTGCAAGAGTGGAGCGTTATTGAAGCAAATGCTGCCTGGTTTAATGTAGGAATAGTGTTCATCATTGCATTGCCTTTGAGTAAATGTCAATTACTAAAAATGTACAGATGAATCAGGTTTCTTGACAAAAGACAGAAGCTGATGATGTGAGAGGATTATATGTTCAAAGAGACAATAAAGAAAAGCTTGTCCTGGTCTCTAAGCCAGCAGAATGGGCCCATTCAGGAGCCCTGTGGAGATTTTTATAAACGTATGTATCTGTGTTGAATGCATTTCCTTCCACATAAAAGAACTGCAAAGCTGATTTTTGAAGCATTTTATTTTTCCTGCATTGTTTGTTTTCAACCATGTTCACAAGCTTGCATTCTTCTTCTTCCTGACATTTCTGGTCTCATGTGCATTTAAGTTAAGTTTGAACTATGAACTTGCAAATAAAACCTGACTTTTTTTCTTCTAGAAGAACCAACTGGCAGGTTTTCACCTCTATAGCAGTCCAAATTTGAAAAAGAAGCTTGCAAACAGCAGTGAGTATGAGGAAGACGAGACATGGTACAGAAACCTCTAAACAGCAGAACAGTTTGAGACAGTTTTCCTTTGGGTTGGAGAGTTTGCCGAAGCAGTAAAAACTTGCTGTTTATATTCTTTTCAGTGCCGGCGATATTGCCCTGCTGTGCTGGCCTCTTTCATAATGAGGATGCTGTCGTGCATGTTATTTCACAGAAAATGCAATTTTGAGTAACTGTGCCCTGGGCCTTCACCCCCCCCACCCTTGTGGAGCCCTGCAAGCCGAGCCAGGCGACTGAGGAAATCTCCAAGCAAACCAGAAGTGACAGGCTGTGGAGCCAGCTAATATTCTCTGACACATGGCATTGGGACCCCCTCACCTCTACTCAACATATCCAGCACACAGCAAATGGAGGAGAACATAGAGCAAAGACCACCAATAAAGAGGCTCATAGTGCGGCCATGATTAGGCACTGCAACGATATCAGGGAGCAAGATTACTCCGGAAATGAGTTGGGGAATGTCGCAAATGAGGATATCAACAAGAGGGTACTTAGGTGCCCATTTAGTTTATAGAGCTTCCTCTGAGTGCACTTTTCCATTCAGCCCGGCTCTGGCTATTTAAGAATTGAAAAGTAGTCGAGATAAACCAGTGACATTTTCAGCATGGCATTCAGTTCAATGACAAATAGAACAAAAAAACAAAAAAAGCTTTTCATCTTTTGCACCGATGTGAGCAAAAAAAGATACAAGCACATTGTTGTAAAGGTCACAGGGAATTACAAGCATAGATAACCAAATTAATTACGCCAAGCCAGGTCCTCAGGAAAATCGCCAAGATGCCTGATGAGAGCGGTGCTGTGTGCATCCAAATCCCCCTGGTCACTGTTGCTTATCGCCACAGAGAGACAAGGCGCTGCAGTGGCTCATAATGAGGCAGGTATACATGTCAATCACATGCGGAGAGTCAAAGCCTGTGACGCACAGAATCTGCAAATCTAATGAACCGTTTTCTTAAAATAACACTGCGTTGCATTTTGGAGAATGTCGCTAGAGGTAAATATTAACACTGAATGGTGTGTCGTCAGAAAATTTGTTTATGAATAGAAAGTAAATGTTAGATATTTCTGTCAGAGATAGAAGGTTAAAATTCATTACAAAAAAAACAAGGTGGACTATGTGTACCTTTTTTTTTCAAGGTTTGAGGTTTAGTTCCAGTGAATGGAAATCCACATCCAACCCCTTTGGAATGAATGGTGATGTCGACTGTGAGTCAGACCATACCACCTTACGAATGCTCTTGTGTCTGAATTGGAGCAAATCCCTAAAGCCAAGTTTTAAGTCTTCTAATGAGAGTGGAGCCAAACAAAGCAACCAACAATGTAAAGGATTGAATTGTTTTTCTGTTTATTTTTCTTCCTGTATTTCCCCATTTCTCTCTCGCCATGTGCATCTTCTGAGCTTTCGTGTTGCAACCTCCTTGGCCTTTACAGGGAAATTTGGCCTTAATGGGATTGCGTGCAAATGAAGATTTCCAACCACTGTTCAATCAGATCAGGGAGTCAGATGAGCTAAACCAGGAAGTAGGAGTGTGTGCATGCATGTGTGAGATAGAGGGAGAGAGTATGTGCCTGCCTCCATCTATTTGTAGGAATAGAGTCTCTAGTGTCACACTAACTTTGTGTTACATGCCCCTCTGGGCTTAAGGAAGAGGCCTGCGATGAGCCTATTACCTATGCAAACTGACGTCGCCCAAAGAAATACTGTGAGTGCCTGTTTCAGGTTGGAAGGAAGGATGAGGAGGAGGAAAAAAGTGTGTGCCATCAGGATCACTGTGAAGAGGAATAAAATGCATACTTATGTATGCAAGAACAGGTACAAACACACGGGCAATGAAGTGTTCGTGACTCACTCTTGCAGTAATGGCTGTATCATTCGAGGAGAGTGGTATATCCATGGCTGTGTATGGAGTCATAGACCGGGGCCAGAACCTATCATCACCGTCATTACCATTACCTGTGAAGCAGCCACACTCCACACAGCAGGGAGGCAAATCACTGCTCCCCTCAGGGATGCAAATTATCCACACATTGCTCAGCAGCTGGCCACGATGGAGATCCATCTAAGAGAAAACCCTGTTCACTAATAAATCTCAGCTTTCCCCCGCTGACAGAGTTTTGTACACCCCATGAAACGGAAAACTCCGTCTTATAAAGTCTTTTCTGTCTTTAATATCCTCAAACATTACTTTCTTAAAACGAGCGAAACGATTCATCCGTGCAGCAAGAACATTTCAACTTGTTCATTCCAATGTACTGTTCGTGTTTCAAGATTTTTCGATAAGATAAGGCAGGTGGGTGCACTAGAGTTGAAAAAAATGAAACTTGATTTCAACAAATACTTAGCTAAGTTGATTTGTAGAAACAGGGTAAATTATTCTCGGTTCACATTTTAAGAAAACTTAAAAAACAAAACAATACTGGATGAAAAGGAGTTCATTTTAGAAGTTGAATGAAATCAGGCTTTTGGAGGACCTGAGTTAGGTTTAGAGACAATGAGCAACAAATGCAAAGAACATATTGCAAAAGAAAGGAAACGATGTGGTAGTGGAAGAGGAGAGACAACTCAGGAATATAACTGTGAATGCAGCCTTGAGTGGATTTAGTCTGATCGTTTTAGGTGAATGGGGCACAATTGGTTACATGCTCCCTCAGCTTTTTCCTCTAACATGTTTTGTTTTAATTGACTTATTCTTTGAACGCTAATCCCAGCAATCCTCCGACTGATCTGTGGATACTCAACTTGATGCAGCCTCCTGAATTTGAAAGGGCAGCAAAACATGCAGCGTCCTCTAAAATGCATAGTGGATTTTAACTCTATATGTACATAACATAACCCAAAAAAGAACAAGAAATACATATTTGATCTTACTAACCTTTCCTTGAAGTCGAGGAAGATCTTGCCCAGGCCACTTCCTCCACTGACCATGTTCAGGTCGATGGCTCGCAGGAGGGCAAAGTGGACTTTAATTACATCCTGTATGAACGTCACAATATACATTAGTAATCTATCCACTCTAACACATATTCTTTCATTTATACACACTTACATACAATACATTTAGGTGTGCAATGATATATATTTATCCTGAAGTATTCTGTACAATATGTTCCTTGCATTTGCTTGATATGCCCTATGATTTAAATGATTACAGACTTCTTAGTGTAATACAGTCTAATTATACCTAATAACTATGTCTTGATATATGTGGAAGCTAAACTTGAAGAAAAGTTTGCTGCTGGTGTATCAACTGCTTTCAGCTAAACACTGATAGTTAAAGGATGAGGCTGGCGTTAATTAGCATTTTTCATCATCAACATGACACGAAAGATCTCATCTACTTTCTGACTTCCTCAGCCAAAATTTGTGGTGGTTTTAACTATTTATTGCAGCAATGTGCATTTTAGTTTGCCGGTATGACTCTGCTTGTGTGATGCTTTGGTACAAATTTATGTATCTCAGCAGAGCCTGAGATACATACATTTAATGAGCACAAATCCATATTAAAGAAACATACAACATTTATGTATGTCAAAATGTTAATACAGGAAAGGGAAGCTAGGGAGGTGGAGGGAGTTAAATGTCTGAAAGCAGGCAACAGTGTAGCAGATGAAGACTGAATGACCATTGGAAATGTTTATTTGGACCACCAAGGTAAGAGATTGGTTATAGACATACAGTACATGATTGGAGAGTATAAAGAACATATGATTATGAAATTACTTCTGTGCCTGCCTGAACTACTGAAAGGCTGGAAGTAGTATTCCTTTGTTTTTAATGTAGTCAAATGAAAGTCAAACTCATCCTTGCTGAAATGCTCCTTTGGTGTACAGGTGTACACAGTTTAGCAATTGTTGCAATACTGACATGTTGCTTTTTGTTTTCTTGGAAATTGATTATTGAACCAGTTGTACAGCAAGAATTATAGACTGTGATCACTGTTAAGGTTTTTGAAAAGAATGAAAAGAAATGGAATCTTTTGCCCCCTACTGTGATATAAGAATACTGAACCATGACACCAGCATCTCAGTGCATATCGAACCATGAACTTTGCATACCGTTACACCCCTAATATGCATATATACAACACATCCTGTCAGTCATTCAGCCATGCGTACACATATTGAATTATTCACTTGGTGTGCGACACATCCAGGCGTGCTGTATAGACATGATTCTCTTTGCTTGAGTGGTTACTCACCTCAAGATTGACAAAGATAGCTTCCATGTCTTGTGGACTCAAGACTTGCTTCAACGGGATCATGTAATTCTAAAGAGAAACAAAAGACAAATCATTGAAAATGTCTTTTTTAAGAGAAAAATATAACTGAAGTCCCTCTTAAAAAACAAATCCTGTAACTCAGAGGTGTCAGTTCAGTATTGATAAAATGAAATAAAAATCGGGGCATGCTTTTAGCAGATCTGTAAGAATTTATTTGATGGACAGCAGAACTGAAAGTTAACTGCAGCAACAAAGAAAATCAATACCATTCCACACTGTAAAAGATGGAACAATGATTTGTGTTCACTGAGCGTGTGAAGTTATTTAATTTCAAGCTATAACACTGTATTGACCATAAATAAATACTATATAGCTGTTCTCTATGCAGCACTTATGCTAACAGAAAAAAAAATCCTACCTATTGTTTCTCTAACGTTTTATGGGTGTCACATTCCATCATCATAATAATAACAAATAGATCAACTAAGAAGCAACGGCGAGATGACGGCTTTATTAACCCCAACTCAATTAAGCTTAACGAGTCCTCTGATCATAAGAAGGTTATTTATTCTCATTTAGTCTCGTGTTGGTCTGACGCGGAAAACACAGGATACACATTTAGTTTAATGAAATTAGTGGAGCGGGTGATTTGTGGCTCTCCATCAAATCGCAGATGAAATCTGTCAACATGGAAAGTGATGTGTTAGCACACGCAACGGTTCATTTTCACACTGAAAGAGATTGTGTATGTGTGAGGAAGTTTCTGATTCTTTAAGCACCTGAAATGTTCTGTTTTACAAGAATGCAACTTGAGTTTGGCAGCAGTAGTGTTGAGAGTGAGGCATCCAATGTAATTACTAGCTACTGCTAAGCAGCGGAAACACAGGAAAAAAATAAAGAGACTGTGTCGGGCTGGTGAACATAGTATTAAGAGGTAAGGAGGTCCATCTTTTTTGAATAACCTGTTGCCAGTATGTGTGTGCGTGCGTGTTCACATATATATGTCCTTGCGCCTGTGATGTGTGGGTCTATACTTAAAGCCCCAGGGGTCAGCATCTCCCACGGGGGCTGAGCCAGTAATAACCGAATCGATCAGCTCCTGTGACATTTGTGCTCCCCAATGAATCTGCCAATAGCTGACATTTCCATGCTGTGACCCGGCCCACAGAGCCTGAGACACCAACAAAGAAGAAGTGACAAAAGGAAATTCTAGCACAACATTGCTTGCACCGGGATAAAAATGCACACCCAAATGTATGTTCGCACACAGCACACACACATATTGTGACGCTCACCTTCTCAATGTCCTCTAAAGTCTTGTAGTACTTCGCTTCAGTCTCCTGGATCTCCACTAAGCAGCAATTTCTCTTGTCATCTTCTGTCATACCCATTTTCTGTGGTGAGTAAAGGAAATATAATGAGTCAGGACAATTATGATTATGGATTATTGATTATCTTTTTATGTACAAAATAGTCCAGGTCTCCCTTTTTAACTTATGTTTGCTGTTTACCACTTTTAATATGACTATCAGGATTATATGTTTTTCAGTGATGGTTAAATGATATTAAGGAATTGCAGTTGCAGTTTGCCAACCGTGCTGCTGTGTTTTAGAAATGTGAAAATTCATTTGGAAATAATTAATTTCCAGACAGTATAGCACACACATGAAAATTGCTTGAGTAGCGCAATTCATTAACTTACATTATCTGTATGATTTACAATCAATTTACACTTGCACTGCATTACCATACGACCATTACGTACCATTGACAAAAATGAATGTGTACTTGATGTTGATCGTAATGGATTACAAGACTCAAGCAGCTTTCAAGAGTCTGTTTTAGTTAATTTCAACCAGATAATCCACTCATAATCAATACTGCTTTCCGGGGAGTCCCAGGTATAAAATGGATTGGATTTTGCCAATTGATTTTCCCACTGTCTAAAAATGAATGGAAAGCAATAGCTGCAGGAACAAAAGGAAATAGTAGCTCCAAGAATCTAAGTCTACATTTAAACTCTTACATTACAAAAACACAACAAGTCTGTTTAATTTCCAAATCAACTTGAACCCGATGAAAATGTTGGCGCACAGTGACTGACTGCAGTTGCTGCCATGGCTCGAGTGAAGTAAGAAAGGGAGGAAAGTCTGCTGGAGAGCTTTTGTGTGTTATTGTATGTGTAGGCAGCATGGCTGAACAAGGCATATGTATGTATATGACTGCAGATGACTCAATCTTTTTTAATGTATAGCTATGCAAGCAGGCATATTGTAAGGGGGCGGTGAAGGATGGGGAAGATACAAACCTATCTACATAGAGCGTTTCCTATAAGTCTCCATGCACGAACATGTGTATTCCCATATATACGTGCGTTTCTTTGAACAATATACTATAATGCCTATTGTCAGTGACTCACCCAAATGAAAAAACCCACATACACAGAGGCTTAATTTCTATACAGACTTTCTATGCTGTGGCAGTGGTATAAGCATCTTGATTGTGGAATAACTGACGAAGCCATCTGGCGCAGATTTGGCTGTTGATAACCAGCGCTGATAATATAAAAACTGGGGCTAACAATGTAGAAATGCAAGTCCAGTCCAGGCCTCAATCCAACATGTAATCAACCAATCAGAAGCAGGATTCAAAGCCAGCAGAATAATGTTTATTTGTCTCATGCTTTTTTTTTCTGTGAAGCAGCTGGTGGTCCTCGCTGACGTCAGTTAACACTGCAGTCACCGAGCTGAAGTCACTGTCTCCAACTGTCTCCAATGGGCCCTGAGTCAGACTTTAAACCAGATGGGGTCTCCTTTTCCCCCTATGCATGGGTCAGTAATCTAACTGGCAGGTCATTCTCCTGGGAGACTACGGGTTTGTCTTAAATGAAGTGGTGGAGGAAGTTAGCTGACAGGTTGGGTGAGTCATAAGCACAGCGGCACTCACCTGCATGTATCTGATCTGCAGCATTGGGAAAGGCAAAGCAGTGCAAGTCAGAAGTCAAATTTATCACCAGTTATGCAAGAGACATCTAAGTGTGTTTAGAGATATGACATCATGCAAATACTAGAGGCCCCTGAGACAATGATAATGCACATCACATAAATAATCTAGGTTTATTGTGGCAGGAAGTTTGTGTTTCCTCTTCTTGCACTATGTGTTCATTGCATCCTCTCTGGGAATAGAGAATAGACTTTAATGCAACCATTGATTTTAGATTTATATGCAATAAGTCAGATTAAGTGTTAAGTGTCTACTGGATGTAGTCTAGAGTGAATTTAATAATGCAAAGCTTCATAGACATTCAGCAGGCATCAGATTCACAATACAACAAACCTAAGACAATCCCATCATCAACAATTTATCCAAAATATCCCTGTTAACAAAATGGCAGAGACAGTGACACAAAGTTCTCACCATGGGTTGTCGTACTTCCACCTTAATGATGTCCTCATAGATGTCATCCCCGTCGTCCTCACACGGCACACAGTCGTAGATGTCATCCTCACCCAAGTCATGCTCACTGGGGAAAAACACGTGCACACAGGTAAGATGAACAGCTGTATCAGAACACAACCTGAACTCAAAGGATGAATCCTTTTACTCTGCCAAAAAGGCTCATATGTTCACTTTAAACTGCTCTGACAGCTGAATTGCACACAGCCGTCAAACCAGTGCGAGCTCATTATCTTTCCCGAGGCCGGGCTGAAGAGTGATATTGGTGCTCCAGGCAAGGGGACACAGTACCCGATGTTCACAAACTCCAGCGAGTTTCGTTATTTAGTGGCATTTCCCTTTAATGTGTTTATGTTGCTTTGGCACCCAGCTAGCTAACTGACCTTTAATTAGGCAAGCAGCCAGCAGAGCACAGACAGTTACTGTGGAGAGGAGTGTCTTCTGGGGAAGAGCCTCATGCTCTGGGAGCCCACACTGTATCTGCCTCTGTTCTGTGAAAGCAATTATTGTTTGGGAAACTTATTGAGGCAGTGGAATACGCTTTGGCAATGGGCCCATAGCGATGTAGTTAATAAACAAGGAGCTTTAGGTCGCCAAAAAGGAAATAAATGATTAACTTTTGTAAATAAATAAAGGTAGTAAGAGTTGCCTGCTGAATAATGGACGGACCAAGCTTGCCAACGGTTTGCTTGTCTAAACGAAAGTCCATTCACCTCTAGTGTGAGGTGGAGGCAGTATAATGCGCATGCATTATGTGGTCTTTCAGTGAGTTACGATGTGGGCTACGACTTGATCCCTGTTTTTGTTTTACTTATATTTGTCTACATTTTGGCAAATTGGCACCAATAAATGTTTGCAGACTTGGCTATTAGCAATCCCTCTTTGCAAAGGACCCATGAATGTAGAGACAACTATCACTGGACTACTTTGATACTGAAAAAAACGTGATGATTCTCAGGCAGGTTTCGGAGTTGTAAGAGTCACACTGAATCTATCACTACGTGTATCATGTCTGTGTGTTCTGATTTGATTGAGTTGTATTGAGTAATATACAAGATGTCAATCTGTACTGCCTCCACATGCTCAGAAACAGAGGACCAGGGTTTAAGTTCTGCAAGTGGCCGTCCTGCTTAAATGTCCTTGAGCAGGACATTTGATGCCTAGCAACTCAAGGGATGCTGTTTTGTGAGCTGACCTGGCCTGAGTGATGGTGAGCGAAAAGAGGATTTCTCTTCTTGGATGAATAGCGCCTCATCCAAATGTATCAGTCTGTGATCCCCAGCACGTACACCTTCCTGTTTGAGTATTCTTAAGGAAGATACTTCACCCCTTCTTGCCTAATAGGGGCCATAACCTGGCTGTCCCAGCACCAAACCAACCAGGTCCAGACCAGCAAATTTAATTTCACTTTAAAATCCCCCAAATTGGATTTTCTGTAGGGATTTCATAAACTTTATTAATTCATGAGTATTCTAAAAAAACATTTATGGGCACAGGTTGTTGGATTTTCTCTACAGTGACATGGCTACATACGACCTTCTGCCTCTACCATCATAGCTAAAATATGTCTCTTCTCACTGCGTGAACAGGGGATAACAAAATCAGAGAAGATAGAACTGCCCTCAATCATATATTCAGTTTTGTCGTCAAGCTCACGTGAGGGTTGTTTGAAGTTTTAATTGAGGTGGCCTGGTTCACTCTCAGCACTCTGCTTCTCCTTTCTTAATTAAGTTAAAGTGGCTCATGTTGAATACTGAGAAGGCTGTGTGGGAGGACAGCGGCCAGCCGATGCTATCCCATCGGTGTCTCCTCTCTGAACTCTGAGACTACAGTAGGCTCCACAGAGACTGATGTGTTGCTTGACAGGGAAGTTTTTCTCGAAAGCAGGTGTTGTACTTCATTTTGCTACAATCCCTAAGAGACATATCATATGATGGAGGTCTGGTGCAGTATGACCTATGGAGAGATCTAAGAGGAGCAGGATCTCCACGGAGAACATGGAGGAGGAGATGCAGGGCAGACTGAGTGGGGTCATTTTATAGTATATAGTAGTATAGAGTATAAGAACAGATAAACATGATGAGCTTTAAATAGAAAATAGTAAAGCAGAATAGAAACATTTTCTGTTGGTTTGCGCCATCCATTGATCCTGAGCTTGACTAACATTAGTGAGAGTTTGTCAAAGGGGTATTCATTAGCAATGACATTTAAGCCCCTTCCTCTTTTCCCAGAGGGTTATTTTGTCATTGTCCAATGCTCCTTTGGATCAATCAGTCAATTCAAGATATTTGTAATGCTTTTCATCAATGATTACTCATTGATCACTACATTTGACTGACAAGGCTAAGGGCTTGTGAGGTTTGAAGGAGAAGCTTCCTATTGGCTGATTACATCAAAATATTATCCATCCTGCATATGCTCTGTTGACTTTTTTTCTTTCTTTTCAATCATCAGAGTTTCTTTATTCTGAAACCTCCTTTAGATCTCTAATTGGTGATGTAATTAATGAACTTCCTAACTGACTGGCGGTTCCCACTGTCAATATGCATTGATCCCAAAGTCAAATAACTCTGATGAACCCCATACCAAGATCTTAATGTAGTAACACGTAAGCCTACTATACAGTACATATCATACTGGATACCATAAAACCAAAAAGGTTGCTGCTAATGAAAAATTCTTGTTTTACCAACCAAACAATCATAAGCTTGTGGTCTGTGTGTCTTGTGCCTCTATCTTCATGGGGACCAATTTAAACTTTAAACCTTGATAATGATGACAGTTTTAATGGTGAAGTCATTCCTTGAAACTTGAGGACATTTTGGCCACTTCTCACTTCATTGGGCTGTTTGGACGGGTTAGGACCTATTGTATTACTGTGCTGATTGTATTTTAACTAATTATAAATGTATTTGCAGTACATTCAGCAATGGCCTTGTTATACAGTATAGTCTTTTATTTAGTAGTTTTGTGGGATTCAAACTGCCTTTACCCACACAACAGATTCACAGGAAATTGACAATTACACAGGGACAAAAGTATATTCAAGGTTAGCACGAGGTTAATGTTTAATGTTAGATAATGATTGGGGTTAAGGTTTCATAGTGCCAAGGCTTGTTTAAGTAGTACAAATGAGTGTGTGTTTGTGTGTACATTATGTACGGAGCCCCCGAGGTGACATGAGAAAAAAAAAAAAAATTATTTAAAAAAAAAAAAAAAAAAGTCGTTTTTTCGTCCGTGTTTCAGGACGGGTCGGGTGGGTTGCCGCAGACCCCTGACGCCTTTTACGCAGCGAGCTGCGCCCTCGCTGCGCCCTCTCTTCCTGCGACTGGCAACCGGGGCGGACTGTCCTCAGTGCGCTCCAACCACGTTGCGTCGCCAGGGCGGGGATCGGCTCACGTAAAAGGTGTCAGGGGTCTGCGGCGAGGTTGGCAACCCACCCGACCCGTCCTGAAACACAGACCAAGGAGTCTAACGCGCCCGGTATACTCGCCACATAACACACGCGGGAGTAAGAGGGTGAAGCAAAACCCCGTGGCGCAATGAAAGTTTGAACTCGAGATCTCGACTTACAAAGCCAAGGTCTCGCAATGCTTTTTTTTTTTTTTTTTAATTTTAATTTTTTATTTTTTTTTCTCCTGTTACAAAGTCGAGATCTCGAGTTACAAAGTCGAGATCTCGAGTTACAAAGTCGAGATCTCGAGTTTCAAAGCCAAGATCTCGCAATGCTTTTTTTTTTTTTAATTTTAATTTTTTTTTTTTTTTTTTTTTCTCGTCACTTTTTTTTTTTTTTCTCATGTCACCTCGGGGGGCGCCGTACATTATGAGACAGACAGAGTGAAAAAAGAAAGGGACATTTCTTGCTAGTGTAGTAAATCTGTTACACCATAACTTTACTATTTACAATCCTCTGTCTCTTGGACTTTAGTGGACATTGATAGATTATTCAAATGCATTTATGTGTGTGCGTGTTTGTGCGTGCTTGTGCATGTGCATGCATCATAATGCATCAGTGGGATAGAGAGTAGGAGTAGAGTCCTAAGGACTGATGAATTAGGTCTTATTTTCTGTCTGATTACACAGTGACGGGCCAGAGGGTGTCCAGTGCATTTGCACGCAATCGGCCCGCCAGCCTCTGCTTGCAGGCCTCAATGCCATAGAATGACATCAGTGGCGAGCAGGGACAAAGAATGACTCACCATATCAGAGCTACTGAGCATATGTCTCTAAAGGCTCAGCTGCCTTACAGGTTTCTATTGAAATAATACTGTTTTTTATACAGGAAGTCATTTTGTTTAGAGCTATGATATACTGCGTGTGGAGCTCCGCAATCGGCCCATGACAGCATGGTAATGCTGCCACATTGCATCAAAGCAAACAAATAAACAGCAAAAAATGACAATACGAAAATAACTAAATGTCTAAAGCTGGACGTTGCATATATCGCTATACCTCACAATGCAAACGTGGTCGACAACATACTGATGAATAAACTATCCATACAGCTTTTATATTGCCTATTCAAACTAGAACTTCAATGGCTGAAGTGGAGAAGGGCTCCATGTGTGCAGAAGGTGGAGATGGGTCAGTCATGGCTGGGGGCACCTGACCATGTGGCAGCCCCATCACTCTGACTGAATGTATCCTCAACAAACGCATGTCTATAGGTCCTGTGTGTGCATGTGTGTATTTTGGGCACAATGTGTATCTGCAAAAATGACAATGGAGGGAAAAAATTAACTTTCCCCAAGGGCATTCATAAAGTAATTCTTCTTCTTCTTCTTATCATCAATAAGGATAAATTGTCAAGTTCTTTTTTTTTTATATACCAAAATCACGCTGCAAATAATAATAGTTTTAATAGTCTGTGGTAATACTAAGATGTAATGTATAAATACCTTAACTAAGATTATCACCTTTGCTTTGTTTTTTTTCTTCCAAGTTATCTACACTGCTTTAAATTCAATAATGTTATCTATGATCTATGTACTTACTTTTTTTTGTTTTTGTTTTGTCTGAATGGGGTCATGTGGTAATATACAATTTAATTGTGAATTAATACCTTGCAGTAAATAATACCTTAGCTGAGCTCCATCCATTCTAAAGCTATTGACATTTTCATGTCAACCTGCCCAAGGGAGTAATGGAGCAAAATAAACTGCAAAAGAGTGACACAAAGGGCTTGTGACACAGTTTGCTTCGGAATGGAAATCTATGTGTGCCTTTCGCAGAGGAAGAAGTCCCTTGGCGACTGTACCCGATCCCCCCCATTTCATGCTTTGTCAACTCCAGGATGGAGTCATTTCAGACAGGGAGGACTCTGAGTTAAGAGACGTGAAGACTTCCCAAAGCCAGACGGAGGAAGTACAGATCAGGTATACCACATTAACCCGGGAGACCTCAATTAGGTAGAAGCTGGCCACTACCTGACTCAGACACTCCTGCAAACAGATATGGTCCAGCAGAATGCAAACTGGAGCATGCTTCACAAATACATATACCTGAGCCTATCTCAGAATCTCAATACCATTCATTTACAGCAGCCATTTCCAAGCAAGCTCATACTGACAGCCTAAAGCCTCAATCTACCTCACCTGACATCAATTCTTCTGACATAATATTGTAAATATGGAAATCATCCAGCAAAGTGAGTGACCTCTAAAATGATACACAGTCAACCACAAACGATCCTGAGTATATTTTAGGCCAAGGGCAACAGTCATATCACCTCCAATTGCCTTGAGAAAAAACAAAAAGAGTTATACCTTTAAATACAGTGTACCACTATTACATTAGTGAATAGTGAACATCCAGCTATCCTGAGAGACCTCTCAGCATGCACCAGTTAAAGTCAGGCTTCTCCAGATGAAGATGAATTGTTGATCGATCTTTTGCCGCACGGGCTGCTGGAACAGTCTTCCATTTAACATTTGGTCAGCTGGCATGATCTCGGTATCTCACCTCAAAATCTATTTTTATAGATTGTGTTCCATAACAGTTAGTATCCTTTGTCGTCTTATCACTGAACCTCATGATGCCATTTTATAGATTTTAATTGTTTACTATTATATTGTTATTTTACTCTTCCATGCAGCTTTATTTTCTCACACTAAATATTTTTGGTGACAGTATTGCTATTTTAATCCTTACATGCTGTTGTTTTTATGACACCATATGTCTTGTCATTGTATTATTTTCTTCTTCTGGGATGCTCTTGAGTTGTACCACATGCATAAAAAATTACTATACTGTGGCACTCTTGCAGTTCAGTCATGCACTCGTTGTAAATTATGAATGCATCTATATTTCAGGCTAATTAATAAGTCTTTGAGAGCAGGATTATTGCTATTGTGGCCTATGTGCCTTGTGTGACCAACTGTATTAGGTGAAGGACCTGCTGATGAATCAATTATGTGTCTGTCCATTGATGAAACTAAATGCATACATGTTCTCTGTAAAAGGTCAAGAGCAGCCGTGCGGCAGAGTGGCATGATTAATTCAATAAGAGCCAGCCCTCTGCACCCACAGGTTACATAAAGAGCCCCGTGTTACAGCACCACTGACCATTTCAGAAAAAAACCGATGAGCTCAAGCTTCAGGCTCACTGAAGGTCACGGGTGCCGAAACCCTTTAATGGAAAGAGGAGATTTTTGCAGGTTAGAGGTTTGAGGCAAATTAAAGGCAAACCCACCAGCTATAGAAATAACCCAGTATACTGGCATTAAAACCCTACTTTTATGCTCACTTGCTTTACTGGTGGGCTCAGTGACACTTGTTGCTATGGATACCAAGCACTCACTATAGTCACTGGATCTTTTATTTTATTAATTTTATAAAATGTAAGTAACCACTTTACACAGGGTACATTTTTTTATGGTGGATTTAAGATTAAACAAGGAAGAAAAAAGTTAACTTTGATATTTCGTGATGCATTAAGGGCCAAGTCAGTAAATACAGGGAGCAGCATGATGAGTCTGACCTCTTTCTTTTTTGATATACAAGTAAAAACATAGCCAATTGGATATTCCTTGCTTTTTATGAGCACATTTTTACCTTTACAGTGAATATGTGTTTTTAGTAATTCCTCTACTCTCTTCGGGATCAGCTTTTGTGCAATATTCAGTTCAGTTGTCAAGGTAAGGGCCCGTGCTCCAAGTGTGCAGAGCTACATGTTTGGCTAAGCTGCACTCTAATCCAGTATCAGCCTGCTTGGCTGGCACTCCTCTCCTCTAGCAAGAGCACATTCCTCATCGCCTAAAGAACACCACAATCATGTATTCAGCAGGCATATATCTATAGCCCGCATGCTCTCCTCTCTATCTCCCGCTCTCCTCCGTCCTATCTCACTGTGATGAATGACACCCATCTCAGAGCGGTTAACTAATTATTCTCCATTAATCTGAGTCGAGCGGCTGCTGTCACCACTGGAACCACTGCCAACTCTGAGTCCCTACGACTCTCTTTCACGCGCAGCAAAACCCACCCATCCACCTAACAGACAGCAAACCAGGCAGAAAGCCACAGGCAGGCAGGCAGAGAGGCAGCCGCAACCGGAGCCAGAGCAAAGCTGGTGTCACCATGGCAACGGGCAGAGTGACAGAGGGCTCCACGCTTACGTAATTAGGCAGTTAGAGGTAATTGGAAGAAGTGGCAATCACAGTTCACTCTGAAACATCACAAGATGTGTGTTACAACGGCGACACGATGGCCAGAGAATTGTTATGTATTCAGATATGTTTTTAATATATCCAAGAGCTCATATGTATTTTGACAATAAAAACACACTTAAAACTAGATATAGAAGATCAATAATGTATGAATTCTGGCTGATTTGTAGCATAATCAGAAGCTCTTTTGCATTTTTACCCATTTTAAAAGCATTTTCTGTATTGTTGTCATCATTATAGGAGCCCGTTTACTGTGAAATGTGAAAAGGATGAAACAACAACTTTTATCTACTGGAACATATAATCCAGATGAAAATATGTTTACAGTGATGTAAGGATTTAAAAATCTGAACATTTCCTGACAATAAAAACAATCAATCATCAGTCTTGATGATTTGTGAGTGCGTGTGTGTGTGCCAGTATGTATATATCACATTGTTAGGACAGAAATGTGCTTACACAGTCACACAATATAGGCTTGCCTCCTATTTGGGGACACAAAACTAGTCCACTCAAGGTAAACCTATATATTTTAGACTTGTTTTTGTTTCAGATAGGGTTAGGTTTAGTTTTAGGGGAAAGAGTAAGGTCAGGGTATGGCCTGTGGTTTAGGGGAATGAGTTTAAGCTGATGAAAAGTCCTCCTAAGTGACAAGTTTGTGTGGGTGTTTGTTGTGTACTTACTCTGCCAGCTCCTCCAGGCTCCGGTACACATCATCCTCATTCAGAGCTGTGTCCTCTGATGGAAAGGGCCTGGTAAACACACACACACACACACACACACACACACACACACACACACACACACACACACACACACACACACAGATACAAAGAGTGAGAGAGGGTACAAAATACTTTATTACTACACACACCCCAGTGTCCCAGGTAGAAAAATAACCAGTCAGAAACTATGTGTTCTATCTGCCAGGTTGTCACTCCTCGCTCCGTCACTTCAGCAGCACAACAGCAGGATGTATTCAACAGAGGACCCCATCAGTCACAAACAACATTGTCAAAACACATCAACACACTGCTGCTGACAGATAAAAAAACATGGCATCTTCCCACAGCCGACTTTCTTAGGAATTCATGGAGGAAAACAGCATCTTTTTTTCAGATGGATGGCCAGGTGTCTTATAAATCATCTCAGGGGGTTTGGACTGCTTTCAAGGACCCTCGGGGACAACGCAGAGCAATATAAAATATTGAAAATGACAAGTGCTGTGGTTGTTTTAACACAGCACTTTTCTACTTATATGTACACTTTTTGTTATAAAACATAATGGTTGTGAGACAAGCATTCAGCCCATCGTATAATAACTTAAATAATTAATCCTGATCCTCTTCTTAAATTTCTCCTTCCTGCTCACTCAGTGTCAGTAAACACAATACTCCTGGGAAGTGGCAGAGCATAAAAACGGATGACTAATCAATCATTAAACATGGTGGATTTATTTCTAATCTTTTTTAAGATATCTGCTTTCTGAAAACATTACTCTGAAGTGCCTGATTAGATCTTGATTTCCCAACCGTGTTACGATGTGTGTTTTTTTTTCTCTTTCACAAGAGCTGATTGCTAGAAATGATAGCCTATTAGCTTAATGCTTAACTCATTAAAAGCAGTGAGGTCATGATCGCCGCTAATCATTACCCACGCTAACGTAAACATAAATTAATCCTCTCTTATGTTTATGAGAGAAACTCTCAGGCTATCTCTGTTAAACTCCAAGCTGTAGAGATGAAAAAATGTTTTATATTAAGAATGTTTTATATATATATATAAATAACATACTGTAGAATGTATTGGTCATTACCAGCTTTGGAAGTACCGAAATGATTCAATACTATAGCATTTTTCAGTTTAAGGAGTTGTTGTTAGTTGTTTGCCTGTTTTTTTCCATCCTGACGACCACGCTGCTGTTAACGTCCTCTCCTCAAGCAATAAATCCCACACAAAGCAGCAGCCAGCAGTGGTTTCTGCTACTCTGCTACGGTAAACAGCCCTGTAAGGTTGACCTTGACTCTCTGTGTAATCTAACAGCACACATGATTTGTTTTCCTATTGTCAAAGTGCCACTGGACACACACACACACACACACACACACACACACACACACACACACACACACACACACACACACACACACACCGACAAAGGACATTATTTAAGAAAGAGATGAAGAACAGAGCGAGAGAGGCTGGGATGGAGTGAGTTTTATGGGGGCGGTGTGGTGCAAGCTGCACATACAGTAATCAGTTAAAACATAACAATCAGGACCTTGAATTTCCATTCACAACAACTTCTGAGGTATTATAATCAACCCTGGTATTTAAGCATGTAAGCAGTTCTTAAGTGGTTAGTTTCAAACAAACCTAATTGTTAACCAAATTAGTAATCAATTTTAGCATGTACTACAATTACTCTGGAGTGTAAAATAATAAAAGTTTGGATTGTGGCTGATCTGCCAAAGATCTAAGATATAGATATATGTATATTATTTAGCCAATGTTTAGCAGAAATGTCATGACAGCAGTCAAACCACTTACATTTTAGAAATCCTCAGCATGTTTGGAAGGCATAATAAAGCAATTTATTCACCCAGCTGCACTGCCCATTGTGCAAAGTGGGACATACCACATTCAAAAAGTTCCATTCAACGACAAATTCCTGTGCCTGCATGAGCTGACACATGCAAGAAAAGAGCCCAATAACAATTCCGATTTCCAAACTGTCCAAACTTTTAGAATGATTAGACATTAAAGATTGTTAGAGTTGGACGCAGGATTACCTTTAGAAGAAGCCAGGTGGCCAGTTTTTAGCATTTATCTTATATTTATCTGACAACACTCTGTGACTTTTTTGGAGAGTGACTCTTCTTTGTTAGCCTTCCTTAGGAAGTATGTTGTGTGTGTGTCTGTGCAAGCCTGTCTCAGACAACTTACTATTACATAATACTACTTTGTTTTCCAGATTATGTTGCGATAGGAAACGTCATTACTGCCTGGACTATATGCACTGGCAATGTTTTTTGTGGGAAGGAAGGACATTTTGGTACCACATACAGGTCGTAGGAAGGTGATCCGGGTGTGTGTGTGTGTGTGTGTGTGTGTGTGTGTGTGTGTGTGTGTGTGTGTGTGTGTGTGTGTGTGTGAGTCTGGAGGTTTTTTTTAAAAATCCAAATCAAGATTCTAAGGATCAAGGGTGTCAAAGGTTGTACAAATGTTAAATCCCTCTGAGAAAACTTTGAGAAAGATTTTGTAAAGGATACATTTTATAGATAATACGCGGAGGGGGTTGCCGGTGATGGATATAATGTATGAATGAATGTTACCATGTGGGAAGGTTCAAGAGAGATGTTGTCAGGAAAGAAACAACAAAGAGAAAAATAATGAATGTCTGTATGTGTATTGTAGTTGGCTGTGAAGTGAGTTGGGAGATGATATGCTGAGTTCAGTTTCAGAGACCAGACGTTCAAAGCTCTCATAAAAGCACTCTACCCTCTGTAAGCACTCAGTTTTGAAATCCTTTGACTGTGTTTAATCCCAAGATAGGATCAGACGACTAAGACACTTTATTGTGATACGGCATCTTTATAAAGAGCAGCAGTGACACAAAGTAGTGTGAAAGTAAAAAGACAAATAAAAACAGTAGTTTGTCACATCTTTAGTTGTATACGTGTGTTGGCTTGTGTGTGTGTGTGTGTGTGTGTGTGTGTGTGTGTGTGTGTGTGTGTGTGTCGAGCTGTGTGTCTGGGTGCCAGTGCCAATTAGCCTTTGTGTAATTAAGGCAGTGGTCACACTGAAACAGTGTGTCAGCCATCAAGTTAATGAATGCTCAGCTAGATAGTCAAAGGTCAGATGGTCACCCTCAAGCATGTGGACACACACACACACACATACACCTACACACACACACACACATACACACATACACGTGAACATTTAAAGAATCCTGCAAACTCAGCCTCCGCAGTCTTTTCTGATCCATTAACGTGTTTGCGTGTTGCAGTGGCTGACTTCATTAAAACCTCTGTATTTTCAAGAGCTAATTACAAGTACTATTATTAAGAAATAATAATACAGAAACTGCCTCATCTGATTTATGTTACTTTCTCACTCACTGTTATGAGCAGAAACACAGCGCAGAAGGCACTTCCTCCAGAGCGCAATAACACACCCACATCTGATGACCCCCTACAATGAAATGTGCATTATATTATAAGTTATTAATGGAGTCCCGCAGGGCAAAATTTAATTACATAGTAGTTTGTGGAGATGTGTGCTCATATCTATCACCTCAGTGTTGTTTTGCGGAGCCAAGCACTGTCCGATGCTGCCGTTTTCATTTTGCTTAAATGATACAACCAGGTGTAATTGAACTATGTTTATAATTTCATCAGAACTCCAATGATGAGCCGTCTCTTGGCTATTCTCTATACTCTTGGCACTGCTCTATTGTTTTTCCTGCAAGCTTGTTACTTCATGTTGTTCGGGTCTTACGCAGTGTGGTAAGCCAGAATGGATGCTGTGGCACCTTTTTAAAAGGTTTTTGTCAGTTGTCTACTGCGAGAATAAAATGTGTGAATAAAGTGCCACTGATGCTGTCCACAAGCCCTCCCAATTTGGCTTATTAAAGTGTTTGTTTTGTATTTTTTCTGTATTGTTTGAGCACAACTGATTCTTTAGGTAAAATTAGGAGAATATTGCCTTCATTGTTGGTTTAGATGTGTCCAACCACAACAGACTACTACAAAGCAAAATTTCTCAGTTTAAATCTTGGTCAAGATAGTTTGTGTGTGGTGGAAGGATTCATTTTCTGATGTGACCTATTATAAACTAGTTATGTTGCTTTTCTCTTCAGTCTTTCCCTTCCTTTATCTCCCATTCTTTTATTAGCTCATCTGTATGTCTCTCTTCACTTTTGATGAGCTATATTGTACTTGTCTTGTAACACACTGTCTGTGTTCTGTTATAGTTTTATTCTCTTTTGGATGCTTTATTTTACAGGTCCATCCTTTCCTAATTATTTGGTACCCAATTAGATGAAAAGAATAGAGGCAGTGTTCAATTACTACACCACTAATTAATTCATTCCATTTGCAAGCCTTACAGAGTCTTTTAGTAAGTAGAGTACTTAAAGACTGTATTTAGTAGTCTGTTTTAAAAAGAATGTTTCTTTCAAGGAAATGACTATTTTCCTTATTTCAACCAAATGACAAAGTTCTTTCAAGGAAACTTATAGGGAGTTTTAGGATCTCATGGCCCAGTTTTTTACTCATTCACCCATTTGGGCGGGCGGGGGAGCTTGAGAGGGGCATGAGGGGCTGTATGCATGCATTTGTTTGTGTGTTTGTGTTAATGTCTCTTTTGTTGTTTGTTTTAATTAACCAAAATGTGGCATCTTGGACAGAGCAAATGAATCTAAATAAGGCTTTCCTGCTTAATTAAAGGTTAACAATAATACAACATTGTGTTTCAGTGTGGTTCTTTTGCACTTAATGATTGTAATAAATGAGGAACCATGTTTTACTGTATTTATTGTTGTAAATAGACTTATTGTTGCAACACCGACAGTGTTGGCAGTTTTTTTTTTTTTATTGCACAACTATTTATATTTCATTTCTACATGTACAATTTAGTTTTTAGTCAAGCTGCTCAAATATTTGCACACCATTCTTACTTGAATATTGCATAGTGTATATACAGTACTTTCATTTATATTTATATAGTCTTATGTTTTCTATTATAT